AGACGTGTGCTCTTCCGATCTTGGTAGCTGATTTCCTGTTAATTGATAATAAAAATTCCAAATGTTTATTGATCATTTTAATTTTTTATTATTCTCGATGGCTTTCTTTAAATAATTAATAACTTTTATACGAAAATTCGACATTTATCAATTGGTCAGAAAATTATAATTGGTTGCTTTAATTTTACTTTTATTTTCAGAAGTTATTACTTCTTACTCGCAAATTGCACTACTTATATTGACATTTGCGAGCAAGCGGCCACAGTATAATTTGAAGGTTATGTTTTTACTGAAACTATTTACTGGTAAAAGGGAACGCTTGTCCAGTAAAACAATATGGCGGCTAATACTGTACTGAAAAGCAATGGGAACGCCATAGAACTTACAGTACATGGAAAGAGAATGGGAACCGAATAGTGTCAAATGGAAGTGAGAAAGAAAACTATACTCCTCTCTCTCACTCAGTTGATTTTTGAAAATGCACATATATGCGCGTCGTTCCCGCTACCTCACTTTTGGGCCAAACAAAAAGGTGCGCACGCAGGCCGCGCATGCGTAATTGCGAAAATCAATCACATCGCAAGAAGGAGAGATATATCGGACGTGAATCTCTCTGTTCAACTTATGGGCAGTCCCCTTCCATGTATGTAAGTTCTATGGGAAACGCAGCCACTATAAGTTCTATGGAGGATCCTGAGAGCGGCCATTTTGCTTGGATAATCTGTGACACCAGCATCGTCACACCACTCGTTTGACATATCACAAACACATCTTGTGGATCAAACTGCGAGCGTGAGTAATACGCAATACGAAAAGAGGCTAGGCGCAAATAATAATCAATTCTTTAGTAATCTAATTCAATATATTAATAACAGAAGAACCGAGATGGCAGCCGAGCGCGACATTAATGATCAGCTCGAGGCGATGGATCGCGAGGAAGCCACGCTGATCAAAGAGATTCATGCTGAAGAGACTGTCAAACTGGATATTCTAAAGAATAATTCGCAAAGAAGAATTTCATCACCGCAGCTGAACATTGAAAAGCATGTACAAAAGGATGAGGAAATGGAACGTGAATTTGCTGAGGCTATGCAAGTATACAATCAAGCCTCAAGAAGAAGTACGTTAACATCTGACGTCATTAAAATAGCGAAGGTGCACGAAGAGCGTGAAATTGACATATATGAGGTGCACTCATTAATTAATATAAAGCATCTCATACCGAAGAGCTCGGTAACAGACAAGCAATTTCGTCTAATTATCGATTTTGTGGATGGTGAGCTGTGCAGGGCAATCAAACCAATTTCGTACGGCGTGGACAGTCAAGTACTATCCGAAGATTTCGCAGAGGTGTCACCGCACCCTCCATCCCGCGTCGTAATACCTACCAGCGAAGCCATGCAATAAAGAACCACTACCATCTACGTCGGGAATTTTGAAAACTAAGCCAACTATATTGTAGAATTATATATGAACAATTTTTCTTATTTCTTCAAACTTGATTTTTTGTAAAAAGAATGTAACAATTATTCTTTTAATTATTTTTTATGTTTCCTTCTTATTATTATCAATGTTGTATTAAAGAATAATTTTACAAAGGAAAGAAACATATATGGATATATTTTGCATATAATTATACATAATTATATATGGAACTTTTTTTCCCGGGTCGAGATTTAAATCTATGTATTTCATGTGATGCTATATATAATCATTAAAGGTAAACTTACCAGTGTCCACGAGAAAATTAAATAGTCCGGGGATACCTGTAAAATGAAACATAATTATTGTATTGATTTTATTGCTCGAGTACTAAACACACTTGCCGATTGTATCCTGTAGAGTGAATTATAGAGTCCGGGGTACAGGAAAAGAGAAAAGATTTTGTTTTAAATAAATGTATTAATTTATTTACATTCGATTTAATCATTTACACGACCTTTTGCCTATACTGCGTAATAACACGAACGGAAAAGCGGCATTGGGGAAGCGTTCGATGTAAGCAGATCCCGATATTTAGTTTGCTCGATATATGACGAATCCCGCTTGGTTATCTGGGAATGTACCAATAATTTGATTACGAGTTTTAAGTGCACACAGGTGCGGAGAAAATTCCTCATTATATTATTGATTTTATCATACAAAATATTGCCGTCGTCGTCGTCGTCGTCGACGACGGCAATATTTGCACAATAACAATGGCTGTGTACATAGTTCCATTTCAAAAGTAGAAGCAATTGGCGCTAGTGTACGGGGAGGTCAAAACTTTTACCGGGGTCGCGAAAAACGCCGGGACGGCCGCTCTCATGCTTCTCTCTGCCGTGAGATAAACAACTCTCGCCGCTCGAGCTCCGTGTTTGCCAGCTGGTGGTGAGACAAGGTTGACCGAGATTGATATCCGTCCTTGTCTAACTAACCCACTCGCATTCCTGCACATAGCACGGAACACAACCGTGGACATAGCACGGATCACCACCAAAAGATCGTGGACATTGGCTACGTAGTTCAATGTCCACTTTCCAGAGGCGCTGAAACCAGCTCAATCGTCCATCGCAGCTAAATCGCGGGCATCAGTGTCTACGATCGGACTGTCATCGGTGGCCGGAGGAGGAGCGAGCACAGTCACCAGGCAGTCACAAGCTGGCGAAACACTCTGGGGGAGGAAGGAGCGTTTCTTTCGGAGTATCGTACGAAACTACGCTACCGTGTGCGATGACTCATGGCGATATGCGGCAGCGACTCTTGGAACCTTAGCCACGCCGGGCCGTTTACGTAAAGACACACGCGAATATATCGATCGCCTGATCAAGTAAGTCCGGATCCGGTCATTTCGTTACTCCGCGAGCGCGTTCCGCCCGACGCTCCGCGCGCGCGCGTGTGTGTGCGGTTAGATTTTTTCCCCCCCCACGAGTGTGACATCGCTGTGTCGAGCAGCAGCTGGACCGAGGATGGACGTCCTGAACAAGCTTCGCAACACAGTCAGCAACACCATCAGCAACACCGTCCAGAACACGGCGTACGGCCTGTCGCAGCTGTCCAGCGTTCTGCCGGGCAACCCGGTCACCAGGGAGTTCGAGGCGACCGCTCACGTGGCGAGCGCGGGGCCGGGATCGCTGTGGAAGATCTACAGCGGCTACAAGAAGTCCACCAAGCAGGAGGCGGCGATCTTCGTTTTCGAGAAGCGCATGCTGGAGCGATGGCCCGCCCGGGCGGACCGCGAGCTCGTGCTCGAGACCCTGAAGCGGGGCGTGATGCAGCTGACGAAGCTGCGGCATCCGCAGGTGCTGACCGTGCAGCATCCGCTGGAGGAGTCGAGGGACAGCCTGGCGTTTGCGACCGAGCCGGTGTTCGCTAGTCTGGCCAATGCACTAGGTAGACACACTTTATTTTGTATTATCTAATAAACACGCCAATTTTGTTGCTGTTGCCAGAGATTAAATTGCACTTTTCTACGTCTCTATTCAGGCTGCGTTCCATTTAACGCTCGCAACGCTCGTAAGCATTACTTGTCCTTGTTCGATAAACAACAATGAAAAATGATTCCAAGAGGGTTGCGTGTCTATGGATCGTGTGTACGGACCATTAAATGGAACGCACCCTTATGGTATCGATGATATTTATATACATACGAGATGTTTTCTGCAGGCAACAAAGAGAACATACCTCAGCCGACTCCGGCAAACTTGAAAGATTACAAATTGCATGACATTGAGATACGCTATGGACTGCTGCAACTGGGAGAGGGTCTGGCATTTTTGCATGGCGATGTAAAGCTGCTGCACAGGAATTTGTGCCCAGAATCGATTGTTATCAATGTTCACGGAGCTTGGAAGATATTCGGTTTTGACTTCTGTGCCTTAAACCAGAATTCAGACAGTAAACAGGTATGAGTCATTAAGTGATAAGAACTTATCAATTGTATTTTAATATGACCGATAAATTCTTATCATTTGAACTGAGGAACGTTTTAAAATAGATGCACCGTCTAAATTTTATAAATCGAAAACAGATTTGCAGAGAAATTATTAAATTATGTGTACACCAATTAAATTAAAATGTCTAGCTCGTGTTTTAACACAAATATATATAAGATAAATCGGCCAAGGACGAGTTATTAACTAGAGTTTTTGGTGATTCCATGTTATGTTTACCTTCGCTCGTCCTTGGCCGATTTATCTTATATATATTTGTATTTACACACCAGTTAAATATCTTGATCATTGCGTTTTGCATTTTTTTTTATTGCAGCCATCCTGGTCTTATCTGGAATATGATTCTACAATTCCTGCGGTTGTGCAACCTCAATTAAATTACCAGGCACCCGAGTGCATCTTAGCGAGTAGTAACGGACCACCCAGCGATATTTTTGCCCTGGGCATGCTGATTTATACGATACATTCCTCGGACCATCAACCGCTGCAGGAATGTCACAACGATTTAGGAAAATGCCGACGTTTCTTGGAAAATTTCAAGGGGACTAATGTCTCGGCGAAACTTCTTCCAATCCCCGAGACTCTGCGAGATACCGTAAAGCTCATGCTGAGCCACAGTCCTGAATTGCGATTAGATGCTCATCAGTTTATCAAGGTAATTTATTCCTTTTTTTTTTAATAATTTCATGTGAAATGTACCAAATTTAAAAAGTTTGTTTAAGATAATTGAAAGATACGAAAGGAAAGATATTCTTAAAATAATGATATTTATTTCATTATTTCAAATAAATAGTGTATAAATTATTGCAGATCGAATATTTCACGGACATTGGCGTTAAGACGTTAAATTACTTGGACAAATTATTCCAATGGGATAATCTCCAAAAATCGCAATTTTACAAAGGTCTTCCACAGCTATTGAAACAATTGCCACATAGGGTTGTGCTACACAGGGTATTACCTGCTCTGTACAAGGAGTTAGTTAATCCACCTATGATACCGTTCGTATTGCCGAGCATACTGCAAGTAATGGAAGTCACTGAGGTAGAAGAATTCCGAGAACACATCCTGCCTAATCTGAAGCCTGTTCTCGCTTTAGAAGATCCGCCACAAGTAAGCATACATTTTCTCACAAGGCCGATAAAATAACAAAATGTGTGTAATAAATTGCGAGTAAGATAATGATGATAAAATATTAAAACGAATAACATCTTTTTTTTTGTTATAGATTAGCCTGGTTCTTATGCAGCAAGTAAATTTATTATTAAAACTGTGCCCCACGGATGTCATTAAGACCGACATAGTGCCTATGCTATTGCGTGCATTGGAATCCGAATGGGAACAGCTCCAAGAGCTCTGCTTATCGGCGTTGCCGAATATAGTGACGATGATCGAGGGACCAGTCATAAAAAACGCCATACTCCCGCGGATGAAAAAGATATGTTTGTCGCCCGGAAAGAAACCTACGAGTCTTGGAGTGCGTGTTAATTGTTTGCTGTGTATCGCGAAAATGTTGCCGAACTTCGATCGCTGGCTGGTATTCGATCAGATATTACCGTTCCTCCAGGAAGTTCCTCATTCTGGCGAGCCAGCAATCTTAATGGCTATTATAGGTAATATATTTTGCGAGCATAAAACTTAAAAATTTTTCAAAATTTAATTTTACATTTATTATAATTTGTCCAATTGCGCTTGCGAAAAATTGATAAAATATTCTTCTTTCTGTCATCAGGTATTTACAGGATGCTGCTTACTCACAGTAAGCTAGGTATGGGCAAAGAAATATTGGCGACGAAGGTACTACCGTTTCTGTTGCCTCTCTGCATAGAACAAAATCTTAGCATGTCGCAGTACGAGACACTTTCCACGCTAGTCGTCGATATGATAAATCGAGTAACCAGCGAGCACCGAGAGGCACTACGGCAATTGGATGCCGTGCGCCGTGAGACCCAACAACTCGATCAGGCGCTTTCTCAAGTGGCGTCACCCACCTTTATGCAAAACAACAGTCTAAGCGACATCAATTTAACGCCCCAAGTTCTATCCCCGAACGCTAATTCCAAAACCGTAAATATTGAGAATGGATTGACCATCGAAGACAAGTTCAGGTGTGTCTCAGCATATGTTTCAAAGACTTCATTTAACCTTTTAGGTCAATTTCTACCAATGTAGATTAACTTTAATCTCGGTTTAATCTATTATTTATCTTCCTCTAATTCTTAGAACTAGAAAAAGACAAAAATTAAGTTAAACCGAGATTAAAGTTACTCTACATTGGTTGAAATGGACATTATTCAAATATAATTACATAATTGTTAATTGTAACGCTAAGTGCACTGATAATTTCCTTCCAGATTAATTCAACAGCAAGAAACGCATCAAAGAATGCAGTCTCAGTCTATGCTGACTCCTAAAGCCGCGCCGCAACCTGTAAAATCGCAGCCGAAGGATTTGACCGCGACTTTGCTGAAAAGCAATCTGGACGAATTGAATCTGTCGATGTCAAGATCGACCATGTCACAGCCGGATTACTCGGCTGCTAAAAATACTACTGCGTACAAATACAACGACATTGGTCTAACGCAATCGCAATTTTTAACGTCGCCAACGCTTAATTCGCAAACAATGCCGAATAGACCAATGAATTGGAATTCCAATGGAATGAACGTGCCCATGAACTGGAACTCGCCGCAGTCCACCTTGATGTGGAACTCCGTCGCTCCCCAGAGTAATATGAATTTCGCGACGCAACCAGAGGTCAAGCCGAACTTAAACTTTCCCGGAACCTTGCAGCCCCTCATGTCACCCACCAGCACGCAAGCCAACGTGAACAAACCGAACTCGTCTACGCAAGATATCATGGATTTGCTTAGTTAATAGGTTGAAACGTGTTTCAAATTGTCGGATTAAAAGAGATGGCAGCATCGTTAAGAGAGCGATACAGAATACATATTTCTCTCGTCTAACGTGATTTCTAGCAGCATTATCGAAGATGAAAGTCACCGTAATAACTAATAAGAAATTGTGAAAAAGAAATAGATCATCTCTTTTGTATCAGCTCCAGCAATCAAAGATTGCAATATTAGAGTAATATTAAATAACAATTGTATTGGATATTTTATATTGAGGCTGTTTCGTGTGGAGTAATCCAATTGCGGATCTTAAGGGATGTTGGAGGACAAAGAATGATTACCGAAGGAAAGCATGTCCACTTAAATATATAGGCATAAAACCAATATGCCTATACAGTTTTCTCGAAAATAGAACGCTCGTCTTCGTAATATTCTTTCTTGTCTCCACTTGAGATATACGATTGGACTTTATACAGTCTTGTATGTATATAACTTGTCTTATATATATTCCGTGTACACACACATCTACATTTCTTATTTTAATAATGTTATCGGCAACTAGAAAAGTCTATATGTGTTGTAACTCTTCTTTGAACGCTTCATTAGTTCTATATATATATATTACATTATACTTCCTGTTTTAATATTTATGAACCATTAAATAGATATATTTATGAAGATGTTCAAAGTCGACAAATACTAGAATGATAATATTAAACGGTACGCTAAGTATGAAACTAGTTATAAGTTGCTACGAGCGCTGAAGAGTAGCAACTTCGAATGTGATAATAAAATGGAAGTCTCAGTCTTTTATACGGAAACGCATGTTTTTATCGTGATTTAATTCGCCATGCTCCCTCACGCTTCGATGTACATATAGCTATTGCCCGTCCGGGATAAGGAAAAAACCTTAATGTAAGAATTATTTAATAAAGGTATTGCTCATTAAGATAATCCAGGATCGTGGACCGCAGTTTCCACGTACATCGCGATTTGTAATAACGGATCGTTCGTATAATAAATCTGTATTGACACGACCGTCATCTGCTGGTATCTTATACCTGTATTGTAATACATCGTCATATAAGCTCTGCAGAAACAAAGTTTATTTTATAATATATTTCTGTATGAAATAATGAAGCATTTGTATATGTTACAAATGGTCGAACATAATGCATTAATTTTATCATCGAAATTTTGTGCATTATTACGTAAATCTCTACGTAAGTTGCTACGTAAACCTCCTTGGTCGTCTGTAATTGTTATCTTGAAGTGTCTTTGCATAAAGTTGCAAAAAGAAGAAAAAGTTAATTGTATGTACTAATTTGTAACATTCCTGAATCTATTTGTTGTTTATTTCATTGTTGTGTACGATTGTTAATGATTGCTGTTTGAGTCTAATAAAACTGCTTGAAATGTTATTGCTTAAAATGTTCTCAGCTTATATACAGTTGCTTTTCCCTCTTACCCATTACTAATTATATTATTATTAATTAATAATTATTAATTGCACGCAAAATTGTGTTTCTATAACTAAAACTTATGTTTTCAATTTATATAAAATTGTCTTTTTCTCTTACCCGTTACTAATTATATTATTAATTGCACGCAAAATTGTGTTTCTAACTAAAACTGCACGGAGAGAATTTTCTTTTAAAATTTACCCTGAAAATCATGTTAATTGTGGGACAATATAGTATTTAGGCAAATTTTACTGTGCACTACAATAAATTTTACTGCGAAATCCTATTGTAGTGCACAGTAAAATTTGCCTAAATACTATATAGTCCCATAATTAACATGATTTGCAGGGTAAATTTAAAAAAAAATTCTCTCCGTGTGGGTCTTATAATTATTATTTAAAATTTTTTTATCTTTACACAAAAGAAAGTTAAAACTTTCTTTTGTGTAAAGATAAAAAAATTTCGTCATCGATGTTTGCATATTTCTATCACATTTAATTAATAATTTGTTATTCTGAATGGTTTTATACAAGAAAAGACAAGTTTGCCGAAAAAAATATTAAAAGCTGTCTTTTTATCCAGTATTATTTTTTTTTAGCTGCATAATGATTTTCTTCGTAATTGACTGCAATCATGCAGTTGGAAACTACAACCGAAAAATATGGATTCGCGTTGAAAAGGGACATTCACCCTACCTAGTTGTTGTTCGTCATAAAGAACCAGCGATTTCTTTGTTCTCGGAACACCGCGCAATTAGGTTTCGTAGACGCCGATGTGCCGTGCGTGTGCAGCGGTGGAGAAATGCTGGAAGTATCGATTATTCAAGCTGTACTATCGTCGCCGCCGAGAGGCGCAAGAAGAAGTGCCGGGACGAAGAGAATGCCGCCCCCCTCCGACCGAACAGACAGACGATAAATAGGAAAGATGCAGTGCAGAAGAAAAAGAAAGGTTTTTAAATGAGGGCTACACTCGTTAATTGGCTGCGTATGCCTCCCTGCAACAACCCTCCATTCTCTTTGGGCATGCATGCCACGAAGGGCTGCGCAGAAGTGGCTCGCGCCCCGGGAAGTTAAGCACTCAAACCCTCGTTTGTTTGAGCATTACTCGCGATAATTATCGTCTCGTTATCCAAGGATTTATTAAAAAGTAAGAAATACAGAATTTTCTACCGACAATATTCTTTTACGCTGTTATATGTCCTTCTTCAATTCTGTATTGTAAAAAATGGATCTTTGCAATTCGTAATTTTATTTGTAAAAATTGGATAAGAGAAAACGACTTTATAAAAAACAATGTATATTGATCGAGAAAAAAAAGATTTGGAAGATTTTTGATAATTTCTGTTAGCAAATTTTTCTTTTTTTAAAATGTAAAAAATGATAATATTTAATTATTAATTAAACATGATATAAATTATACATATAGATACTGAAAATAATAAAATTTGTTAAACGTTTTATAAAAATATAATAATTCTCTGTACATTTAATATAAAATTGGAAATGGCCATAGACAAATAAAATTGATACATGCGTATATTTAATGTATATATTGTATGATGTAAAATTTAATATCGTCGATAAAAATATTGCTAATAATAATATTAGTGGAATTAATTAATATTTATAATATTTCTAATTAGGATTTAACTTTGCAGATTTTAGTAAGTATTTTTATCGTTAAAAGTAAATTTGGATTTTGGATTTCAGAGACTACTTAATATATCAATAAAGGGGATAAAAGAAAATGTATCCGTCTCATTTAATGTACAAATTATACTTTTCTTCCCCTATTCGAAACATTATATCACATTGGTCATCCAGCATTACCACCCTTCGCTTCCTTGGCGCCGATATTGCTCAAAGCCACCCCCGCGACTTTGGCGCCTTCGCAATCGCCTCTTCGCCGTTTCTTCGTGATATCAAATCGCCACCCCCGTCGAGATCGGTCTCGCGTTCCCGGCTCCCAAAACACGCAACGGCGTGGCGCACCCGTGTATAGATCGGGCATTCATTCATAGAAGCCAACCTTCTGTCATAATGCTCACCCCCGAGGCGCACCCCCGTCGAACGATGAACGGGGGTGCAGGCGGGGGCGGTGGCAGCGGCGGCGGCGGCGGCGTCGACGGCGGCAGCGGCGGCAGTGGTGGCGGCGATTCGACCCCATCCGACACAAGGAAAGAGGGGTGGCCGGCGACCCCGGCTTTAGTCGCGATGTGCGCGTCGCCCCATCGCAGTTGCTCCCTGTTTCGCATTTCCGCGCGGGATCCCTCGCCGACGAGCAAAAATCTCGCGTCGATCACGTCGTAAATCTCATTCCGATCTTACGGAATAATTCGAAACGAGGGAGTGGTGGTGTTACCTCAACAATTCGACCGAACCGTTTCGACGAAAAACAAAATTGTTTAATTTTTAAACTCGATTTCTGTTTATTCAGTGTCTATAGTCACGATATCATTAGCGTCGCGGTGTTGACAGCGACTCTAAGGAAACGACCGAGGAATACTTGAAGAATTTATGAGGAAGATCGTTAACTTTTCATCGTGTTGAACTCGAAAAATGTATCACGTCGCAGTTACGAACTTACTTTTGAAAATTTAATATTAACTAAAAAGTTAAGGCAAAGTTTTTGTTTACTGAAGAAAGAGGAAAAGAGGGATCGGGAGGAAAAAGAGACGTAAGAGCAGTGTCGGTTTCTTAGCGTTCCGACTCTCATAAACATCGTCGGCATTCTCCCTCGGCGCGGGAGGGTAATTTCGTGTCCGTCGGAGGGTCGACCCTCGGAGCAGCGCGGGGATGCGCGCGAGGGTGTTTGTGCGGCGTGGATAGGCGAGCCGGCAATTTCGCGTGTGGCTCTCGATATCGATTCTAGGCCGCCGCCGCCGTCGGAGTAATCGCGCACCCCCTTCGTCGTCCTTCGGTCGGCAAAACCACCGCTCGTTGACATCGTCGTCGTCGTCGTCGTCGTCGTCGTCGTCGATACGCGGAGGGGGGGACCGATGAGAGGCAAGATCGATCGATCGGATCGGAGAACCGACGATCGAATTCATCTGTACTATCCTGCCCGGTGTGGAAAAGATTGGCGGTTAATCGCGCCGGGGAAGATGCGGACCGAATCGGGATAAAAGAATTGCGTAAGCGAAGCACGCTGACATTTAAACAACATGTTGGATAGACATCATTAAGTAATTGTTTGAAAGAGATATTTTATTTACAATTATGATAACTATCACATGTTATATGTTTGAGGCGTTTGAAAACATCTTTCACATGTCTTCTGTGTTGCTTTTAGAAAATATTCTAAATAAATGCTGCTAATAAAAAATTGATAATAATTGATAATTGGAAATTAACCAAGTACAAGTTTAAAAGAATTAATAAAGATAATTTAAAGGTAAATGTAATGGACGAATTTTTAATTTTAAATATAGAAAACATTTTAAATTATATATAAATTTAAGAGCGATTGCTTGACAAAGTATTATTAACGCGAAGCTAACTTTTTAATCAAAATTTCTTTTGTATTAGAAAATACAATTGTAAATTAGACTTTTGCTCAAGATTTGCTCAAGAACATTTGATTAAAGATGTAAAGGAACAGAAAAATACTAATAGTACTACTATAATATTTATCATAACTTTATAATTATCCAAAAAGCATTTTTAATGTTTTATACAACACTAGATCTAGAAGTTAAAAAATTAGCATGATTTATTTTAGATCATAAATTGTGGATGAAATCTTGTGCATGTTTCGCGATTGTTACTGCGAGAGTACTCGACTGTTGCCCTATCGTCGTGCCTCCAACAGAGAGGGTGATGTTTATCTGTGATATATCAATGTTAATCACCACTACGCGTGTTGGCTGCGATAAGCAAGGCGTATCTGTCTGTGTGGGGTCGGTATTCCCTTTTGCACGCAGCAACGAACTCATTATTCCAATTGCATAATCGATCCAAATACCACTTTCCATGCCATTCCGACACGTGGACCGTCCATACCGGGCATCATCTATCATCTTCACTTGAGTCAAAAATACTTATTAAAAGCAAATGCGAAATAAATTACATGTAATAACTTTCTTTAATTAATCAAATACTTAAGAGAATTTTATCGTTTTTCTCTCTCGCGCAGAGAAGAAATTATAAAAAAAATTACTGACAAAGTTGTAGAAAATCGCAGATTTTCACATTTCTTTGCTTCAATAATAACATTATTTTAAATATGAGCATAGTAAATTAAACTCTCTACAATATTATATTTTATAAACATTTATATAATAGAAATTTTATGTCAAATTTTTGCGGTTTCTTAAACGATATTTCGGTTCTTTAAAAGATATTTCAATAGAGAAAAAGTTCACGTATAGATCGCGTTCTCTCGTAAATTAGCAGGGGAACGCAGACAGCGAGAAATCTCGATTTTAACGAGCACATTTACGGAAGGGCCTACCATCCATCCATTTTTGTTTCGCGTGAAAAGAATCCTCAGGGGATTCGAGACGCCCCATGGAGACCCATCAGGTCTTTCACAGATATGCGCAAATATTTTGTGGACATAGGATATCGGAAAAACGATTCAGACGAACATCACATATTTCGCAGTATATATTTAGTTTTATAGTAAGCTATATATAGTTAAAATTGAATATAAAATAGACTATAAACAAAAAACCCTTTAAAAATTATTATCTTGGAATTTATCTAAAGTTAATTTTCTTATTCTTTATAAAAATAAATTTGTGAAAATAAAACTTTTCCGTTAGTTATATTTCATACAACATATTATTTACAAGAAAATTATTTAATTTTTTATATTATGCAATATAAAAAAAATATGCACAAGTTTATCGTATGTTACGCAACATAAGAAAAAAAAAAAAGATTGTGGCTTTCATCGATTTTTATTTATATTTTTAATGTGTGATAAAAATAGAATTCTACGTGAAATATATATACCGTTTATTAAATTTCTAAATGTTAATTATGTTAACTGTGCTATCTCTCTATTAGCCTTACGAATATCACACATGTTAGGCACGGGAGAATCGTTCCCTTAATGCGGTCGACGTCGCACACAGACGCATATACATGCGTTTTCTGAAACCGTGCACGCTATAGGGACGCGGCCGATCGATACGGACGCGAAAGGACGATGCCCGATTTCGATTTCCCTCCGAGAAGCGAGACGTGGGGTTACCCTAAGGGTGCAACACGTGCAATTATACAGGGCTGCAGATTTTCAGAAGCGGAGCGGGGGTGCAAAACGCACGCACGCCGCCCGGTGACTTTGATCGTTGGCCCAAAGCAAAATTGCGCTGCTACCAGCGTTAACTTATTTGCATCTGGGAAACGAGTAAATCAACGATGTGCTTTGCATTAAAATGAAGCTCGTAAAAATAAGATTTTAATTTAAAAAAAACATTTAAGACGTTTATAATTATAGAGCTCGATAAATTTAATATTTATTTTATATATTTCTTGTGGTATATTTAAAAAATAATTTTATAGCAAGATTTATTTACTATGCTCACAATTATAATGCTCAAAATGAATATATTATTATTAAAGAATTAATAATTAATATCTGAGAAAAGTGCATTATCAGTAACGTTATCAATTTTTTTCAAATAATTTTTCATAACTAAGGCAATAAGTTTTTATAATTAAAAATACAAAAAGTAAAATTAAAAATGCTGTTAAATTATGTAATGTTTAAACAATGGTCGCAATTTTTTGGAACACGCAATGCCTCAATCGCATGTTCGATAGTTATCATCGGGGTTAAAAATATTTTAGGAGCTTTATTATTCCGACGTAATCTGGGTTATTCTGGTTTACTTTCCTTGAAGCGTAATCTGGCATGCCCTATTTTGCTCTTTAACTTATTTCATATCGACATAACATTAGTCTAATTTATTTATAGTCTAAGAGCTTTTTTTAATTATTATTGACAGAATAGACACGCGGATCTGTTATATTTTCCGGGCACCGATATGTCTCGGTTAGGCCCTGGCAGTCATCAATGAAGAGGCGGACATGAATTGGACAGCTGAACGGTCATCATTGGGATTATTATTATTATATGGGATCATCCTTCTTCTGAGATGCGGTATTAATAATATACAGATTTTAATTTTCGCGTAGACGTATATGAAACGCAACATTGTATCAAAAAACATATAGCGTTGTTCCACAATAATAAGTGATATAATTGAGTTAAATAATAATTAATTTAGCTCTAACAGTACTGAGCTTGCATCTTTATAATCAAATCATCACATCTGATTATTAAAATTAAATTACGGATAATAATTTATTATTTCTCTAAGGAACATTCTTTATCAAAGGAACAATATTTGCGCGACTTTAGACAATCGTGTTTACTGGTTTCAGGTACCACAAGATCGATGACAGACACGAAGGAGCCGATACTATTAAAAGTTGTCGCTCCTCCGTCCCACACGGCTTTGTCCGGCGACGTAACCGTTTTTATCCTGGACTCGGCGGAAACGGAATCTTCTACGGTACCCACAAGTACTATGTCCACCAACGGCACAAATGGCGTAAAGAGAAACGAGAAAGAAACAATCGATCCGAAGAGAGACGGAATTAACGCGGGTCACGAACCGCTCGTGCTTAGGTATGTAAAAAAAAAACTCATAAAATTTAACGAACACGCACGGCGGCGTCGCGAATATTCGCCCTGAAATACTCAGCTGTTTATGCAGCCCTAAATAAGCGAGCATTGAAATGAAGTAACGGAAGACAATTAAGAACGTCTGCAGAGCTGTAAAATTTTCATAAATAATTTCGTCCTGATATAAATGAGCGGTTAGAATAAACGGATATTAATAAACTCGTCTTCTCTACGTTAAGAGTTCCCGAGAATAGAGGAATTAATTCATTACTACATCGACACGATATTGTAATTTAAACGATTGCATTTAGATTAAACATTGCATTACTATTCATATATTAATTCCAGAGTACTATACGTCGATGGCCTCACGTCGGAATTGATCGGTGATTTCCCTCTGGATACCTTGCCGCATAAGGGTGAGAATATTTCTGTGATAATACCTTGTGGTTTCTTCTCGCGTGGCGGAATTTATACACTACGACTTCAGTACAAGTTCTCAACCGTGGCTGCCAGACACAACACTGCCATTGCTGGACTGCCCGAAATTGAGGTGGGCCACTCTATTATCTATTAATCTTTCATATTTCTCTTAATATTTCATTATTTGTTATCGTATAACACGAAATAATGAAGTACAAGTGTTATCTAATTGGAATGCAAAACGTATTTAGATGAGCAGTGCCTTAGACGTAAAGTGGCCAACCCCTTCTCTGCTTTTGGAATCCCAACACTTCGGTACATATCCTAGCCAGCCGGTAATAGCTACTATAAAGTACAATGGAATCTCGTGTGTACCTGCCAACGGCGTTCCGGTGGCAGCTTATATTTTGCAACTCATATATTGCGGCACCACCGCGGCCGCCTGCGATCCACAGAACAACGGCCGCATGCAAGTAAGCGTTATATGCGTTTGGTAAAGGGAGTGTCGTATAAAACGCGCGACAACGCGTCGCGAAGTCCAATCTCTTATTATACGTTCCTCGAACTTGTCCAGGTGCTCTATTACGAGGAAATAAACGGCTTCACCTCGCCGAAGGTCGTCAAGTTGAAATGTGAATTTTTCGGACTGGCCGGAAATTATGCGCTCAGATTAAAGGCCTCGGATGTCAATCCATCCGCGCCGACGACCAGCGCGTACATTAAGGTAATTACATTTCTCAATTTGAATGACTGAAACTTGAACGAAGGAAGGTAATAATTAAAGAGATAGTAATAATTAAAGAGATAATAATTAAAGAGGTAATAATTAAAGAGATAAGATTATATAATGTGTTATCACGCGCTCATTTTTGCCATGAATGTAATTTATACGTATATAAATTATATAAAATAATTACTTTATATACATACATATATATTTAAACTCTATTTATCCTGCATTTTTCTTTTTTACTTGCAGGTGGAATGGTCCACCGAGTTTAGCTTCAACGTTCACGCGAGATCGATCTATCCTTGCGAGGGATCGACGGGCATATCGGTCCTCTTTCAGTATCCCGCGTGTCGTCTTCAGGGTGATCGCGTGCGCGTCTACGGCCGTCTACGGGCGGACGTGAGTTCCCTGGCGCCGCCGTCCGCCTTGCACTACGTGGCGGAATTGAAGGCGGCGCCGGGCAAGCATTCGCTGAACTTCGACTGCGATATCTTCACCGAGAAGTTCATCGAATACTGCTTCGTTTACGTGAGCCAGGCGATCACCGGCGCGATGGCGGAAGTGAAGCTCGCGTGTGTGCCGACCTTCCCGCTTCTGGGTGAGTGGCATGCAAGCGCTTAAAAGCCGGCTGCACCTCCATCCCCGACAGATTTACCGCCTCGTAATTCACCTCGAGAGATCGCGCGCTATTCACGTAGATTTTATCCTCTTAACGAGCCTCGCGATTGCTCACTGCGTTTAATGTAGGTCAATATATAGGAGACACGTGTGATTGTTTTCGGTGAAATGAAACTGGATTTTAAGTTAAACAATTTAACTTACAATTATATTGTTAATAATAATAATGCTACGCTTCATTATTATATGTACTCAGGCAAGCTTTGATAATTTAATTTGTTTTTCAATTTTATTCATTAATCACTAAGAGAATAAATTACAAATAGCTTACTTTAGTTTTTCTTTTTGAGCTGCAAATATTATAAATTAGTTCTTACAAAAATTTGAAAGACTGAAAATTAAACGATTTAAAAAAATTAAATTTCCCGACTGCAGATAAAGCATCAGAGATTAAAAGACAAAGCATATAGTGTCCCACTCGAATTCAATTTCCTTAAGCAATTTTGAGTCATGATAAAATGCTCGACTTTTGAGACACCCCATATGAATTCTCCTCCCTTCTCATTTTAATTATTAACACAGAAAACGACGCGGCCGGTTGGGGTCCTTGGAGCGCGTGGAGCCCTTGCAGCAGCTCCTGCGTGGGTGGCGTTCGTAATCGATATCGATTTTGCGACACGCCACCCCCGAAATACGGAGCGAAATTCTGTCAGGTGAGTTTTAACGGCGAACGTTATAAAAATGCGATGGCAATCGAATCGAATAGTGACGCGTTTGCTTGAAAACAGGGAAGAGCGGTCGAGACGGAATCCTGCGGCGGCACCGGCAGGATCGATTTCCAGGAGGCGTGGAACACCGAGGGATGGGAGTGCCGGCACGGAACGACATTAGCGGCCGCGAGACCGGAAGTCACGGCTCAGATCGGCTTACAGTGTCGGTGTGGTTGCATTATCAATTTCGAGGATAAATCCCTGAACAAGATACTGGCGGCAAATACTCAAGCCTGTCCCGGTCGTTCCTTCTGGCTGCTGCAGGTAAATCCCGCGTTATATTAATTTTTATTTGCAGCTCTGAAATAACTTTACACTCGCTCAAAGAAAAAAAAATTATATTCCCTTCTTTTCTGATTTCTGGAGATACCTAATAATTTATCCCGATTTATGTAGGCAAAATCGGATCATATAATCCGACTGCATTTGGATCAAACGCAGTTTCCCTGCCCGGGGCAATATTTCCGCGCTCGCGACGGTGATTCGCTGAGCGCCGAGCTCTTGACGGATATCGCGTTTGACAAAAGCGCACCCACGACAGGAACGATAGTCTCTTCAGGTCAAAGCTTGTTGCTCGAATTCTTTAGCGACGAGCACACCGCCTCGGGGGATTCCTGCGAGGGTGGTTTCTTGGGACACGCGAACACATTTGGTAAGTTACAACTTAAAACATATATTATGCAAAATAACGTAAAATCTTAATATTTTTTTAAATATATTATATACAATAGAAATATAATATAATAATAAGTGCAATAAATATATTATTAATTACATAAATCGCCGTGTATTCTGATTTACATAGTTTTAGTATTGTTGTATTCAATATGTGTAATTGTGATTAATATTTTCAGAAAAACTATATGAAAACAAGACATCGTCATTGCTCCCTTCGGAAACGAATTCTACTCTCACTGTTGAACAATGGATCTTCTGGGGCCCCGCGCATCTGGCGACAGCATCCCTTTTGATACTCATATTCTTTATATCTATTTTTCTAGCACTGCAATTTGCACTGAAATATAGGAAGTACCATATTGCCGAGGATTTGGATACTCTGAGCGAGAATTCCGGTAAATGTCTCGCATTTACGTGTACTAAAAAATTAGCTACGGATTATTAAAAATTTAATATTGATAGCAAGCGCTAATAGAATAGAATTAATTAATGTTAAAACTATTGATATATTGTGTACTAAATGAAGACGTATTGGAAAACGAAAACGTTAAAATTGATTAAATTATTCAGGATGTAGCGATATGATGGTGGGCCGAGCGAAATCGATGTCGTCTACGACGTTAATTTCGGAAGTCGCGTCTCTAGTGGGACTACCAAAGAAGTGCACCCCAAGACTGTCGAAACGCAAATTAGCACCCTGCGCGGTGGAGGATGGTTACGATAGCTCGGAAACTTTGGCGGAGTAAGTAACAATTGATCACACTTAGCACATTAATATCGATAGTAAACACGTTTGTAACATTGATAGATCGACGATTGAGTTTTTTGACTTTGAATTTAACCGTACTTGAATATTTAATATTTTAACATTATACTGAGAGTTGTACGATTTTGCTTTATTCATTCTATCGATCCGTTGAATGTTTTATCGCGACCTATATCGGCGTACTAAAGGTATACCTTTGATCGTAACAGATACGAAGACGAAACCAGCCTGAGCTCGACTACCTTGAAGTTGCGAGATAACGAGGAAAGCTGTGCGGAGAGGAGCGTGATACCGAATAAATTGCACGCCGATGAACCACCGGCGACGATATCTTCTATTATGGCAATTGGTCAGCCGGAAGTAAAATACGCCCAACCGGTCAAGTAAGTGTAACAACCAACTATATTTGATGGAGGAATATTTTATATAATATCTATCAATATTCAATATATAACGGTCATGTTTTGCAATGCCTCCGATAATATAATCGATGGGACAGTTCAATATGACTTAATCACTTATACATTGCAGATTACGAACTCTGGGATCTATCAGTTCCGCGGACAAGCTGACGTCGGGCAACACGACGAGATGTCAAAGCACGGCGAGTATTACCGAGAGCCCGAACATTGCAAGACTTCATTGTTACACATCTAATCCTTTGCAGCCTAAGGTAGCGATCTAATTTGATTATATATTTCACTTGAAAACATTCGCACAAAAAAACTAGTTAAAGCACGATCAAGAAAAGAAAGAAATTAGATTTCCTTTAATTCCGACAACGCAACGATATTTTATTAATATAATATAATCTAATTTTAATTAAATTTGGATGATAAAACAGACAAGCTAAAATAATTATTCAAATGTGTCAAGTCAGATAAATCACGTAATGTTATTTGGAAAAAATTCAAGGAGCTAAGGTAAACTTTAATTTTAATCTAACATTTCGCATGTTAGAAAAGTTATTTAAATTCTGCGACCGAAAAAACTGTTATCAGAATTCGTCGACGAGCAGCCCATTGTCGGGCACGTCTACGTTACGCAGCGGTAAGGAGACGAAGGACCGTCGAAATCGCGAGCGACTGCTGCAGGGACCGGGCTCGGAGTTCAGCCTGACAAATCCGGAGACGGATATGGAGCTCGACTATTACGATTACAACGTCGCGAACGCCGGCGCCGCGCCGGGCTCGTACTTAGGTATGGATCCAGCTTTTCTCCTATGGATACCCCCGTTGTCGATGTCCGAGGATTCTCAAGATCCGTCTGCGGATCTTCCGGATTGTTTTCAAGGCACGACGACGACGAGCTCGGCGTTGTACCTACTGCCGGAGAGCACCGAGGGCGCGACCCTGACCCCGGCCGAGTATCGGCGTATGCGACAACAGATCGCGTCTGGCGTCGAGGAGACGAGACCGAGTCTCGAGCAGCAACGCCAGGACTCGACGTCGTCCTCGTCGTCGTCGAAGCACGACTCGTCGTCGGGTAGCGTGCTGTCCGAGGACAGTAGCAGCAGCAGCAGCGAGGGCAGAGCCGCCAGGCTGAACGAACGTCTGCTGCCGATCCATCGGATCCTGGAGGACTCCAGGACGCGGGTCAGCGAGGAGTCTCTGTGCGGTCAGCTTGCGACCGACAGGACGCAATGCATCATACCCAATCGCCTTCACGGCACCAAGTCCGATCTCGCCCAGGAGCAAAACGCCTCGAGAATTAGCGGTCGGCAGGATAGCCACGTGAACGTCGCCGAGAACATCGTGGTGAAGTCGGAGGATAAATCGGTGAAATCGAGGCAGACATCCAAGAGGCATTCCGAAGACGTGATACCTCATCATAGTACCTCAAGGTCTTACGCGAGTCAAAAAACGAAGGAGGTTTCTCAGAACGACAAGAAGAATCGTTGCTTGAAAAACGAGAGCACGTCCAAGTTCTCCAGTAAGTCGACGAGCTCGAAGACTCAGGGATCACACGTGGACGGCAAGGACAGGGGTCTTCAGAGTGCCAAGGACGATCCCAGATCGGACATCGTTCTGGCAAATCTGAATGTGACGAGCGGCAAGTACCGAGCGGACTTCACGCAATTCACGCAACCACGCGAGACCAATAAACTCTCGGATTGCACCAATATTCCGATGATCGAGTTCTCGGGGCCGCGACTGAACTCGCCGGCGACAGCGCGGAGGCTAACGACGGACAACCTGAACATCAGTCTGTCTAAGAGGGAGATTCAGAGCCCGGATTACGGGGTCGAGAGCGACATGAAGACGGAATCGCGCGACTCCTTCTACGATCTAATCCGCGAGAACGAGGACGGCATCAAGTTCGCGGACGACGACGACGAGTATATCGATAACAGAGCAAATCTGTGAAATCTATGTTGTAACTGCTACACCAGAGCGCAATAAAGATTATTGCTATTTTATACGGTTGAGGATGTTGTGTCGGTGCGGCGATTTTTTTGAAATAATCTGACGGGACACGTTTTGACACGTTAAATGTTGTGTATATTTAGCGATCACATGAATATCATTAAATCTTCTGCTTCGTACGTGGCAAACGTGACAAATATTTTATTGTACTTTCCAGTCATAAGAAAAAATTATGAATAATTATGAACAGTTCTAATTTCAAAACGATTTTAAAAGCTATAAAAATGAATAATGATTAACGTGTCAGAGCGTATCTCGACATATATAACTCTTTTTTAACGCGACGTAAAACGGAAAAGCGAATATAGTTGCTATAATCGCTATTTTTGTAAATGTGTAAAATATCTTGCATGAGGTATGTAAATATGCTCCGTCCACCGCATTGAAATGTAATCACTTCGAAAATTCGTAACCCTGCCTGAAAAATACCTCGCTATTCTTATACTTCTCTATATTCTCGATTATATATATTTCTTTATAGACTTTTAAGGGAGCTCTCTGCGTTCGCGATCGGAATACCGTACAAATCACTAAGAAACGTTGTCAATTAACTAAATAATTAAATCTTGTCACATATTTTTACCGCCCTGCTAGTTTCCGGAATACTTATAGATTTACACATAAACGCGACGCACTAATAGTTAAATCGCACTGCGTATTTGTTGTATAATTTCTGTGATATGTTGATGTTTTGTGAAATTATCGCGTGTACATATAGAAATAAACATTTCTCGTAACATACACACACCCTTTCACCAAATTATTGTTAATTATATCGCAGGGAAAGAAGTTCGATATTAAAGGTAAGTATAAATCTTTTTATACAGCAGTGTACTAAGTGCAACTAGACGAGGATCTTCTGTCGCAAAATATTGTAAATACAATTTCAAAACGTTGTCGCAAGCATTTCGTGGCAAAACTTATCAGTTAGAAATATTTTATAAATTAACGCGACAATTAAAAAAAAAATCTCAAAGAATTGCAAATTTCGAATCTCATATTGCAAAGATCTTTACTTGACTGGTTGTCATAAAGCTTCTAGATCGACGTTCATACCTTTGGGGGCGTTCTCGGTCTTCTTATCGGCTCATTATCGAGAGTGTTGAATTTCACGAACTGTCTAATTAATCTCATACTAGTAAACAGAATAACGAAAAAATATACTTGGCGGGAGGCGCTAGCGTGTCTCCTGATTAGTCGAATCGGAGTCGTTGATTCGTAACAATCAATATGAGAATATTAAACGTGTTCGGATTTTTCACCATCTTTTGCATCAATTATTCTGATCAACAATTCAGTACGTAAGATAATCAGCTGGATTAAAATAGAACTATTCGCGCGATATACGTATTTTTAAGTCAATCAATGTCGTAGTTACGTTAGTAATACTTTGTCTAAAATTTAAATATTACAATTTTTTTGTTTTGTAAATTGTTTCAGTAAAAAATTATATTTAAATGAAATAATTTAATCTGTCGTCGTTATATTCAATTTTTTAATTATAATTATAGTATATATATTTCTCAATATTTTCACAGTCATGTTTTCATATCCCATCAAAACAGATGTACGGATGCAATGCAAGAGTATTGAAAACTCGCCATTATTGCGCCTTAGCAATCATCTCTTTTGCGATTATGATAAGACTATCCATCCAAATTATCCCAAAACGACCAATGTCAGTTTGCGCTTCATGCCAAAGCTAATAAATCTCGTAAGTGTATATAAAAATATTACAATATATAAGTTATAATTACTAATTTAAAAAATTATATAATAAGTGTTGTTCTCCAAATTTATAGCAATTTTTAAAATTTTACTTCTTCATATAAAATATATTTTTCAACAAAAAATGCTTTTCTATTGTCATCAAGATGAAAATTTTTGTCGAAAGTTCATTTGTTTCACTATTATTTAATAGCTATTTAATATTATGTTGTGTGTGACGTATGAAAAAAAATTAAATAATTTTTTATATGAATCAAAAATTGTAAGATACACACAGCAGAATATTATTGAGCACAAAGATCCGCTTTGACCGTGTTTTAATTGTTAAATTATTTTGTTTACAGGAAACAGACCAAGCTAAGTTGTCACTGCACAGCTGGATAGCACTTGTGAGTGCATCATTTCTTTGTCATTATGCCTCATCCTTGCCCTAATAGTAAAATATATAATGAATTTAATACAATATAGTATTTATTTGACAGTCATGGACGGACCCGCAACTTACTTGGACACCGAGCAATTATGACGGGATTAATATTACTCGTGTGAAAAGTTCGCGGATCTGGACGCCTAGCTTGAGTATCAGTAATTCGTAAGTTGACTTTCAAAAATTAATCCTATTTCTCTCCGTTTTATAATCAGTTGTATCTTACTCTTAATAGTGCCTAATAATTCTTTCAAATCTATTATTTTATATAGATAAAGAATAACGTGATACAAAAATTTGATACATTACTCTTTTAAATCTTTTCGACTTTTTTTAGTGGCGAGATGTCGAACGATCAATTTGATCTATCTAAAGTGAATTGCTTACTCTACAACTCGGGCTTTGTCTTTTGCGTACCCATGCTGAAATTTATTGCCAAATGCAATCCTGATTATACGTATTGGCCTTACGATAAACATCGATGTCGCATCACGTTTGAATCATGGGTGCACACGGATGAAGAAGTCGATTTACTGATGATGGATAAAACACAGGTATGCAGCGCTTCAATCGAAAATCATTTAATTCCCTAAATATTTGATACTGTTAAGTTAGCATCCTCCTCCATAAAAATGTATATTTGATCTATTATTATCATTATAGTTGACTTTAAATTTCCGCTTTCTTAAATAATACTTTGTCTGTACGCGAATACTAATTTAATAAAATTATGAAAAAATTACACGTTGTTAAATGTTAATGCATCTAAGGTTAATGAGAGATTTATATAACGTAATTAGTATATTTATATATTTTTTAAATGACTCATTATCTATGTAAAAAAATTACTATTTATATTTAAAAAATTAGAATATTTAATCATATCGATTGATTGCAAATATTAATTCTTATTGTAAAAAAATGATACGTACTTTCTTCGCAGATTTCTTTGATGAACGAATATACGAATGACACGATATGGGATTTCAAGTTTATAAATTGGACGAAGGAAGTCACGAAAAATAAATGCTGTTCGGACGATACGTTTTCAACGATCAATTTTGATTTTTTGTTAACGCGATATCACAGCAACTACTATACGATTGTTATTGTACCGGCTATTGGTGAGTAATTGATCGTTTGATTGATGAAACGTAGAAGTGCAGGTAATATTTAATAGTAAGCGTGATACATTTCTTTTCAGCTTTGATACTACTCACTTTAATAGTGCTCTGCCTTAATTTAAATTCGGTTGAACGAATAGCGATGGCGAGCGTGAATTTTATTTGTCATTTGCTCTGCATGTACGTCATGCATTGGATTGTACCATACAATGGCGCTAATCCCCCCAATATACGTAAGTAACTAGATTTTATAGAACACAAGCGTTAAAGAATATATGTTAAGAACATTCCTTAATTTATAATTTCAACTTTCTTTTATAACTGTATGTCTTTTATAACTGTGCTTTCTTTTATAACTGTATTACCCAGATAGCACACAGAGCCCAAAATAATTAATTAGTATATTCAATTTTATGCAGTCATCAATTCTGAGTTCATTTTCAAGTGCAAAAAGAATTCCTTTTAGAAAAAGAATTCTTTTTGCATCTGAAAATGAACTCAGAATTAGTGACATAACTGAGTGATATAACTGAGTTCTTTTTTCTCTGTGCTCTGAGTAGATTAATAACAATTTGAATAATTAATTTTCTGATCTATTGAAAAATAATGCTGAATTGAAAGTTTATAGTTATATTACTACAGTAACAATAACTTACATATTTGGTGTCCATCTTGCAGTGATATTTTATCGTGAATCTTTGGCGTTGGCCACCTTCGCGATAATCCTGACGGCCGTGTTACGCAAGCTGGAAGCTATGAGCACGCAGATACCAAATTGGATCTCGTTCACTACAACAATTGTCTTGAGCAACAAGGCGGGACGTTTTTTGATCCTCAAAGACGACGAGTTCAAAATGGCAGGCAAAGATATAGCGACTGAAGAAAGCTCGGATGTTTCAAAATCTGAAATGAACACGAAGAAATTGTTCTGGAAATATTTTGCTGCTATTATCGACTGGTTATCTTTCTTTTGTGTGATTCTGACTTATGCCATTATTTTGATTATTCTAGTACCCGCGGTTTAATCTGTGATAAGAAACGTTAACGATAGAATATCCTCCGTAATGTTCGTTATCTTGTACAATGAAATACTCCCAACAACATTTAAACATTATTTCGTTGCTTATATTTCATTTACGTCATTATCTTGATCATCTTTTTATAGATTATAATTAAAACAAAGGATTCGCTAAATTATATAATATTTAAAAGATTGCTTTATTTATTAGATATATTCTCTAACGGCTGTTTTTCTATTTATACTTGTATGAAATTATGGCAATTCATGTATCTCGTAATTAAATAAATAATATATTAAATAAATAATATATTAAATATATCAATAATCTATTTTAGCTTATCCATTTTAAGACAATGGGTCTATAAGATATTTCGTAAAAGAGACAATAAAATGATAATAAGATGCTCATTCCATGATTACTATTATTCGATACTCCCAGGTCTAACTATCTCTAGGCCTAGGTTTCTCTTCCTCCTCTCGGATCCCTCCGTCTCAATACTTATACTAACTCACGTCAATACTTACTAACGAAAGTACAATTAATTATAATTGTGTACTTTTATACAATTCCTGTTAATCGTTTGCAAGGCATTACCATATTTCAATGATCGATTAAAGTTAAATGGATCGTGCGAATATATGCAATGCGATCACATGGTAGTTCGTTATTTCCATTTCATGTGTTGTTTCAATTTTTACGAGTGAATAGATAACGTGAAATATGTATATACCTGCTTAACTAAATATTCATGACTTCGATATCCGTATATATCACTAAATGGAGAGTTAATAATTTGGAATCGCGTATATAAAAAAATAAAGCACGTATCCGCGCGAAGAGCGGTTGGAGTATACGAGAGATCATAACGCTACAATGCAGTGATTCACAGAGATTTTTATTTTAATATTATATAATTTTTAAACTTATCGAAAAAATTTAGAGAAAAATATTGCTAAATTAATTTCTATTTTCTAGTGAAATAAAAAGAAATTAAAGCTGTCAAAGCACAATGTGTGAATAAAATTAAAAAGGCTTAGGCTATCCGAACAAAAACATCCCTAATGATATACATAAACTGATAAAATATTAATTTATTAAATTAAACATTTCGACTATATAACTTTCTTTACTACAAAATATGAAAAATATTTACCTATTTCTGTTCACGTATAATCACGTATAAAAATTATGTTACGATTTTCTTTGTTAACATAAGTTTACTGTTAAGTTTAAGATCAGTACATAACGTAATGTATGTAATGCATTATTGATATTCATGTGCGGATAGCTTTAGTTTTTAATGTAGAATTATACATGAACAATTTCGAAACATTTACACATTAATCCACTTAATTCATTTTTCCCGTTTTATAGAAGTAAAAGATATCTCCGTATTTCATAACAAAAACCATATATTTAGAAAATTCTACAGATCAAAATACAAATTTATTGCGAGATATTTTAAGAGCTTTAATTGATTATTCAATAATATTTCGGACCGTACAGGATTGTCTTTATTTAATTTGTTGTCATGTAATTCTCAAATATGGATACTTCTGGGGGCGTTCAAGATATCAGTAGTTTCGAATTTCATGACGTTTGATTGCTAAGCTATTATAACGAAGAGAATTAGTTTAACCAAAGCCGTTGGCTCGTTCCGATCAAGATGAGAATACTACTGTTTGGATTTTTCGTAATTCTTTTGCATGGTCAATGTAGTACGTTAAATAATCTTCATTAAAATAATAATAATTATAACTGTTATTATTACGAATATTTTTCTATCTTGAATAATTTAGCGGTTAATTGCATGTTTCATCAATTATTTAAAAGTAAATTTCACGTTATTGTAACAGTTTATAAGAAATATTCTAATAAAAAGTAATATTAATATTAATTTTACCTATCATATATGATAATAATTAAATGTTAATGTAAATTTCTATATTTCCTATTTCAGTGTCTAGGCTTGTGGTTGTTACTGATGACTTGAGACTCGGATGTAAAGATCTGAAAAGTACTACGCCACTGTTGCGTCTTAAAAAGTATCTCTTTTGCAATTATGATAACACCGTTCGTCCGAGCCATCATAAAGTAGTTACCAATGTTACTCTTAGACTGATGCCGAAAATGATGGAATTCGTAAGTGCATCATCGTAGATGTATACTGTATTGCATGATTGATGAAATATTTAATAAAATAGTTGTTTTAATCGCGTCATATTCTAAATAACATTTCGTCACACATTGTGTGACATATTATTTTTAGCGAGAACTTTGATCTTCAAACTATTCATATTTTAACAATATTGCCGTACAAATCTTATTTTCTGATATAAAACATGTGTTAATTAAAGAATTAAAATATTGTTTTATGCTGAAATTATTGTCTGATATGTAATTTTCATACTTTTTCTATTCATTTGATAATAATTAAAAATACAAAATATAACCAACCTATTTGTAAGAAAAATTAATCAATTTTATTAACAGAGCGGAGAAGGTGTACTGACACTTCAAAGCTGGATGTCGTTTGTGAGTCTAAAATATTTTACTTATTATACACATTCTCATTTTAATAAGATATTTAATTAACAGTCTTGGACGGACACGTTTCTTAATTGGACATCAAGTGACTTTGAGGGACTTACTTATATTCACGTGAAATCATCCAATCTTTGGATGCCCGATCTCTACGTCTACAACTCGTAAGTTAGTTTCGAATCATTATTATAAATCGCTAATATTAATAAAATTGAAGTAAAAATGCAAAATATTATAACGAAGAATGAAAATGCTTTGTAAACTTCATTAGATATAAAGAAATACTTCAATGAAGGTATAATCTAATTTATCATTTCTTTTCTTTTTTAATTAAAGAAATTGACGTATACATTTAATTTAAATTTTAAATTTCTATTTTTCCTATTTTTTTAAAGATAAATTTAAGATATTACTCATTATTTAAAATAAATTTTCCAATTCTCGTTTTTATATTTGCATATTTTTCAATTATGTAATATAAATGCAACTAAATATTTCGATTACACTTCGTTTTTTAGCGGCGATATGTCGAATAGTGATATGGTGGTTCTCGACACGAACTGTTTGGTCTTTAATACGGGTTCTGTTGTTTGCGTGCCGCCTGTAAAATATATGTCAAAATGTGAGCCCGATTATACATATTGGCCTCATGACCAGCACACATGTGTCATTACACTCGGCTCATGGTCGCATACAGGAGAGGAAGTCGATGTCCATCTAGACGGAACTGGAGTACGTGAATCTTATTTGGTTTATTATAAAATAATGCGATGGTCAATCTTTCTCATAAATATTGTTTTTCCAAATATTGCTTTAGATAAAAAATTATGCATTGTAAAATTATACTATCTTAATGCATCTCTCCAGTTAATGACGGAGATATTATGAAATTGCTGATAAAAATTTTGTTTCAAAATTATGAAATTGGAATTACCTTTCTTTCTCTCTGTTTTAATTTAATTGTAAGACATTTTCTTAAAAATTTGTACGCAATTGTTGCTTTTCCTCTCTCTATCCCGTTTTTTCTTATTTTATTTATAAATAGATTTATATTATCTTTATGTTATATTAGATTAAAAAATAAAATCTAACCGTATTTATTTCACAGGTTAACATGCACGGCTACGAAAATAATACAGATTGGGATTTGAATTTATTAAGCGCAGAGAAAATCGTTAAGAAGTATAAGTGCTGTCCGAACGATACTTTTCCGAGAATCGATTACACATTTTCATTGACTCGGCACTACAGCAGAAATCACAAATCGTACATCACACCAGCCATTGGTAAGCAATTGCAAAATCGAACTTTAGTAAATAATAAAAAAAAAAAAGTAGCATAGTAAATTTAGATCATGAATGCCTTTTCTAGCTTTGATATTCCTCACCCTAACGGTGCTATGGTTGGATTCAAGATCGGTTGAACGAGTAGCGATCGCGAGCATAAATTTTATTTGTCACTTACTTTGCATCTTCGATTTGTTCTGGGCGGTGCCGTACAATGGCCCTCATCCTCCTAATATATGTGAGTATCAAAGTCATAAAGAATGTAAAAAAAATATTTTAAATTTAAATTTAAGAGAGATATTTCAATTTCGAAACTTTGAAATAAATCTTTTCGTACCAGCAACTTTGTAATATAATTAAATATTGTTTAAACGTTATTTTATGCGACAGAAGATGATATTAGAATTAAAAATAATATATTAATTAGAATCAATTAGAATCATACATAAAACCATCACCACTTAAATTACAAACAATAAATTTTATTTCTTACATTTATCCTGCAGTGTTGTTCTACCGCGATTCCTTGGCGCTGGCTACTTTTGCATTAATTCTGACGGCCTTGTTACGTAAATTGCAAAATATGAGTATGGAGATGCCAAGTTGGATTTCTTCCACGACGATGTTCATCTTGAATAACAGGGCTGGTCGATTCCTGGTCCTGAACGACGAGGAGTCCAAGATAGTAGACGCAGGAGGTATAATGACCGAAGACAGCTCGGACCTTCCAAAGTCCGGAATGATGAAAGAATCGTCCTGGAGACATTTCGCCGCTATCATCGAGTGGTTGTCATTCTTCTGTGTGGTCCTCTTTTATGTCATTATTTTAATCATTCTTGTACCTTCAGGAGCCTCGAATTAATCCATGACAATCAGAATATTCTTCAATAATACTCAAAATCCTTCTAAACAATCTGTTTACCTTTTTTGTAAATGATTAAAATAAATAATTGCGTTATTTTTAATTATAATGTATTGCGTTTTTTAATTTACTTCTGTTAAACTTCATTTGTAATATTTTTTTATGCAAAAAATTTATGCAATTTATTAAATTTAATGATTATATTTAATAATTGTAATTATAAGTATGTTAAAAAAAGTAGTAGAAGAGAGAATTATTTAAAATGAATAATATACATGAAATTTATTAAAAATGGCATAATGAAGAATCAATAAAATGTAATCAATGTAAAAAATAAACTGGTTTTAAATTTTCTAAATAATTCGATCGTTTTCTTACTTCCATTATTTCTATCTGCTTGAAAATTTTCTATTTAGCATAAATACTAAATATTATTCTCACAAGACATTATCTTCAATTTAATTGATTTAAAAAAATGATAAATATTATATATGCTATACATTTTCCAGCTTTAAAATTGATAAAATAGCTAAAATAATATAAACAATTGATATAGTTGAGATAATTTTGTGTTTCCGTTCGAAAAATGTGTTTGTCCATGATTTAAAATAAGATAAAACTATTGTTGATAAAAACTTGTTGCTGAGGGGGCGGTCTTCGTGGTCTGCAGTTTTACGTTTCACTGGGCGTATGATTATCGCTATTTCTGCTCTCACATAATCCAATGCTAATGTGAGCAACTCAGTCGTTGCAGATCTATTCATCGTGTAGGTATTCAAGATGAGCAGAAACAATTTCTTTCCCGTCCTACTGTTTATTCTTCATATCGTGTGCATCGATGCGATAGCAGTGAGAAGTAGCAGTTGTAGCTCCGAAACCAAATCGCCCATGGTGAAATTGAAAAGGCATCTCCTATGCGAATACGATCCCGATGTAAGACCGGTTAAGGGTAATAATAACATGACGCATGTGAATTTCTTTATGAAGCCACACTTCTTTGAATACGTAAGTAATATCTATCGATGGAAAATATTTAAAGAAAAGTATCAATATTTCTTTGCGACTTTAACTTTAAATATAGGAGCCAAAAATACGCTACAATTTACAAAATAAAATCCAGAAAGTCGAATTTGAAATTGTAATTTATTTTTTAGAGTCACGTAAGTGAAATCTTCACGTTGCATGGGTGGATGTCAATGGTAAGTCTACACAATTACATGTAAATAGTATGTCCGCATAAATAAGTTTGAGAAAAGAAAGTGACATATCGATTATTCAGTTGTTAATGGATATTATGGGACGCGCTTTAATTTTTATAATTAATATAACTTACTTTTTCAAAATTTTTAAATATAACGTTCAGGTTTTATATTAATATTCTGCTTTAATACAGCTATGGAATGATTCGCATTTGATGTGGGATCCTGCGCAATACGATAACATCAAATGGATACCTGTATCAGGGAATGAAATTTGGGTGCCTGATGTTTTGATTCATAACGGGTAAGCAATGTATAATATATACTTCAATTTAATATATACTATAATATATACTTCAATTATTATTTTAATATATATACTATAATATATACTTCAATTATTATTTTAATAATTAAAAACGTTATAATCTAAATTTATCAATAATTATATTAATATCTGTCATTTTCTGATATAAATATATTAATTTGCTAATATCGGAATCCGAATTTAATTTCTATAATTATTATACTCTATTGTCGGTTAAAAGCTTTTTATTAACTCTTTTAAATCATTTCATTTGAAATTAAACGCGTGCACGATCTCAACAAGCATCAATTATATCAGAGAGTTAAAATAAATCTGAGATCGTGACGTAGAAAATATTTTAAAATTTCTACGTTTAACTTGTGGTATGATATTGAAGTAGAATTTATCAACTTATTTCAGACGAATTGAAGAAAGCTCATCGGATTACGAACGTTCAAAGTGCTGGGTGTCGAGGCAAGGGATGATTAGATGGTTAATGGCAGCAAAGTATAGTACAAGCTGCATCACAGATAATACGTGGTGGCCATACAATACTTTAAATTGCACTATACAATTCGGATCGTGGTCACATTCCGGTGACGAGATCGATCTTGATACCAATCAGAATAAAGTGGTATGATATTTTCACTTTCTATCAAAACAAATTAATTTTAAATAAATGATACTTGCGTGATATGTGTATATATAAATGTTTTAGTAATACTTTCGTAAGTTCACATCTTTAATTTTCATTTCTTTCTGCCAATTGAATAAATTTACAGTCAAATTTTGACTTCGCATCGAATGTCTACGCTAATGTTGAGTGGGATTTAGTGAAAGTTTATATAACAAGATGGGAAAATAAGTACAAGTACGATTCGGGTTCAACTATTAAAATGCTTTCCTATCACTTTATTCTGAGGAGTCATTGGGGTATAATACGCATTGCGTTCATAACACCTACTATAGGTACGTACCGTGTATTTTACTAATTTTCATTAATATATAAATTCCATAATATTATTTCAGTGCTATCAAAATATCCTTATTACTCAAAGCGTTTATGATTAAAATTTTTTAAAAATAATTTTAATAATTTGAATTTAATATACGCTAATAAATGATAATTTAATTTTCAAATAATTAACCTAACCTTTTGCTTTTTCCATTAATTTTGAAATTCATTGAATTTTACATGTTCACAGTGTTAATGGTGATGACTCTAATGACACTGTGGCTAGAACCGAAATCGTTCGAGCGAATGGTGATTGCTAATCTGAATTTTATTTGTCATTTACTATGTATACAAAACGTGCATTGGGAAATGCCGAGGAGCGGTTTTAACACTCCCAAAATACGTAAGCCATTTAATAAGATAATTTGATAGGATATATAACAAAAAAAAGTCGCTATTTAAAATATCGTTCATCTTGCAATTAAATCTTCAATTCTCGATATCCTGGCAATTAATATTTCAACATTAATTTCTGTGAAATTAAGTCATCCAATTATAAGTAAGTATATGTAATTTGTAATACATCTAACTTAACGTCAGTTTTTTTAGTTTTTTTTTCTAATTTTACTGTCACTCGTAATAGGAAAGAAACAGAGAGAGAGAGAGAGAGAGAGAGAAAGGAAGAAAAAAAGCACAAATTCGTTTTTTATTTTAGTCGTCTTTTACGAGAGCTCTCTCGGGATAGCAACGTTCGCTCTCATTGTCACCAGTATCTTGCGACAGCTGCAAGAATTGACTACCGAGCCGCCCACGTGGATCGCGGCCGGCACGACATCCATTCTGCGCAGTAGAGTTGGACGGATTCTTCTAGTCAGCATCCTGGACCCGGCCGCGACGGCCAAGATAGAAGCGGATGTGGACGATAATACCGACCTCGTGCAATCGAATATGGGGAATAGCAAAAGATCGCCGTGGAAATACATTATAGTGCTCATAGGATGGTTAGCACTTCTAAGCGCGCTTCTGGCCTACATTATACTGCTGAGCACGTGTTTGCCTACGTACTATGCCATAACAAACTAATTCTCTACTGTACGAAATAGATTTATTTCGAATGGAGTTGTTAAGGATATGTATCATGTTAAACAATATGATTATATAACAAGTAAAGAAACATAAATTGTAAAAAAATATTATATATATGTAATTGGATATATATTGGGTTGAATGGAAAGCTCTCTCGTTCGAATATTTGCATCCATCTCTTAGAAAAAAAAACCAAAAAAAAACAGAATGAACTTTCCATTTAAACCCAATAGATGGATTCGGATATCTATAGGACGAATTTCCTCTTTTCTTCTTATAAATACCTTTATTTTGTAAAACAGGTTTGCTTTGGACACTTATACTAATATCGCTCGTTCTGTTCGCTCAACAACAGTGTCAATTGCAACTTAACCTACATATCTGATAATAAATAGAGAAATCAAGAAATAGAGATATAGAACGAAAGTAACTGCCCGAAAATATATACCTTAACTTTTATATATGGCTTCATTATACCCCGTAAATGGTCATTTCCGAATGATACTTATATATATAAACTTTCAATATGATCTCGCTGAATTTTTCGACTTTGCAGCGATCAACATTTCGTTACACTATGTACATATCAATGATTTAGCATTTCCGCTCCAGAAGAATCCTCAAAATGTGCACAAGTAAAAACATCTCCGATTATATCGACATAGTCTAATCTCGTTTCGTATCGTATACACCTCGAAAAGATACGTCTGTAGAAACTAAAGAATAAAATCGCACCAACGCTCTGAAGATCGGCATGCATGTGCATACCGGCATATCTTCGATCATGAATAAAAACATATATATATATATATATTTATATATATATATATATTACGCATATACATACCAAACACTGAAGATATCACTGGGAAAAAAGATATAGAAATTGATGGGTTTCCTCTAAACATACGCGAAAAACGGAATGAGCTGATTCTCACTGCGACTGATACAGGAGATAGTCCTTCAGCAGTCTCGGCAAAGGGAGCAGATTGACCGCGTTTCTCTTGGTATATTGCAATATAGCGTCACGGCACGCGCTCTGCAGAGTTGATACTGCTGAAACACACAGGAACAACCTAGAAACCCCGTGCTGAGAGAAAAGAAAACGCGACCTGACTCCAGGACATACTTACCTCCGTACAGCTGAACTATCCGAACTTGCTTCGTGGTACCGTAGACGTCCACCACCGCGCGCAACGGTCCCGCCTTGTAGGGAATATCCTTCCCGCACACGCCCTGATCCTCGCCGTTGATGATGAAGTGCATCTCCGCTTTGTCGGGGCAACCGGCCTGCGGCACGTACATGATACCGATACGACTGCCCGCATCCGTAGGCAGGATGCACTGGGAAGAACCGTCTATATTTGGCTTTAGAGCATTGAAGGGAATGACACCGCGCGACGTCTGCACGTTGACCCCATCTGTGACCAACTTCTTCTCTCTGGCTGGTATTCCCGGTGGTATACCTTTAATGGACGAGTAACAAACTTTAAAAATCGTTGTAACATAAAATTATGGGAATTTCGGAACATAATAGGGGCAAAAATAACACGGATTAGATGAATTTAGAGTGTGTAGCTTGTTATATACGCTTGCTAAGGCTGCGGTTCCATTTAACGCTCGCAACGCTCTTGAAATCATTTCATCCTTGTTGTTTATCAAATGTTAAAGAACAAGTTAATGCTCGCGAGCGTTGCGAGTGTTAAATGGAACCGCAGCCTTGGCAAGCACGTATAATACGCTACACATTCTAAATTCATCTGACACATGTTATTTTTTTTTGCTCTTATTATATGCTGACATTCCCATTTTATGTTACAGCGATTTTCGCATCAAACATTACAAACATAGCAAATCATTTCCAACAAGCTCCCTCTTTAGTTTCCAAAGTTAACAGTAATCTTACATTACATAAACAAACAGAATTTTTGCAAGATAATCATGGTAATTTCGTATAGTAGATATTAACCGGTGAGAGACGTGTACGTGGTTGACAGACCACCGTCGAAATTGTCCCAGATAGTTTGATTCCTAGTTATAGCGAGGATCCAGGTGTTGCCCAGTCTAACCAGATTGGGCATCGCGTATTGAGGCAGGTTGTTGTTGACCGACGCCGGATCGATCAGGGTGAGACCCAGCCGCATGTGGCCGCTCCATCCCCTCTCCGTCTTCTCGATCTCCACGAGGAAGATCTCGCCCGGCTGCAGCGGCTTCTCGCTGAAGGCCACCGAATTGGCGAAGCTCGTGGTGCGCACCGCCACCGTGCTGTCCTCGCACAGGAGGATGTTCTCGCCGTGAATCGGGTGGAACCTGGTCACTATCTTCCTAGACTCCTCGCTCATGGTGGCGCGACGTGTGTAGGAATACGTAGGTTAGGTATACCCGAAGAGGACCGCGCCGCGTGCACCAGGTGCATGCCTGAGATCTGCGTCAGATCGACGGGCGCGCGCTGCCCCTGCGACGCGCCGTCATCGAGCGGAATCGCCCTCCGCGAGGGAGTCAAACCTCGCCCCGAAGAAAACTCGCTCCTCCACAGGACGGCGCGGCGCGAGCGAGTAGTCCCGAAGCCTCGCGAGGGAATCGCGGAGCAGATCGCGCGAGAGTAGCGGTAGCGACTCGTGTCGGTGCTCTCGGTCGTCGCGCAAAGTGCCACCGCTTAGGTTAGGTTCGCTCGCTGCGCGGCGGTCGCGGAGGAGATCCGAGAGACGCCGGTTTCACGAAATTTACATGTTGACGCTCGCGCGCGACGAGCCCGGCCGGGCAACGATTTTGGAAACCTCCTAGTGTTTACGAGGACTCCGGAGCCACCATTACACGGTGAGTGCGGATCACTATGGCGCTCGTTCCGGAGCGAGCGAGCGAGCGAGGCGCGTGCGCGCGCGACGTCGAAGGGGTGCGGAGCGGTCGGAGCAGTCGGAGTATAGTAGCGAACGAGTATCTAGATATCCTTTTTAGATGATCTCGCATATGAGAAGAGCGCGCATTTTTATTCCTCCCGATTATATAATTATCTTTCGATTATCAATCAAGTATACATGATTTTATATCACCAGAGGGAAATGCGATAAAGCGCAGCGATATCGTTATAGATACCCGGGAAAAAAAGTTCCACTGCATATTATTATATATAATTATATGCAAAATATATGTCCATATATGTTTCTTTCCTTTGTAAAATTATTCTTTAATACAAAATTCATAATAATAAGAAGGAAGCATGAAAAATAATTAAAAGAATAATTTTTACATTGTTTTTTTTTTTACAAAAAATAAAGTTTGAAGAAATGAGAAAAATTGCTCATATGTAATCATATATATAAGAGATTAAAAATATACATATATAATTATATATGAACAATTTTTCTCATTTCTTTAAACTTGATTTTTTGTAAAAAAATTATTCTTTTAATTATTTTTTATGTTTCCTTCTTATTATTATCAATTTTGTATTAAAGAATAATTTTACAAAGGAAAGAAACGTATATGGACGTATTTTGCATATAATTATATGTGGAATTTTTTTTCCCGAGTACTGGATATGCTACTTAATTTATTTATGCGCGCGTACGCCTCTTAAATAATAAATCCAATTGACGTGGGAAACCTTGGGGTCTGTGCAGTATACCAGAAGTTTCCCGGTTACTGGATAATTGCCGTCCTCTCCTTTTCCGTTCTCTTTTAGACGAATGACAATAGGGACCACCTTGCAATATTATATTAATGTATATTAATATATTAGTAATAATTATAGATATTAGTCTTTTAAATCTTTAAAACACTCTTATAATAACTTATTAAAATTCGTTTCTTTCTGTTATTAAAAAAGGTGGACATACATTCGTCATGATGTATGTTCGTCATATGTACGTTTAAAGCTCTTTCTTTGGAAGATAATTAAATAACCCAGGTAGCACGTATATTCATTTCAGAAACGTTTTATAACCAACTCTTGAAAACGTTTCTGAGTGGTTAAAATGTCCTGCACTCAACAAACGTTTAAAGAAATGTTTCTTTTTGTAAAAAAAGAAAACGTAGAGAAATATAATTAAAATATTTTTTTTTCTCTATCTGTAAAGAAGCATTTGCGCATTCGTTCTTTTTAAGCAAACTTTTTCACAGATAGAGAAAAAATGTTATTTCGATTTTATTTCTCTTCATTTTTTTTTAATCAAAAAGAAACGTTCTTTAAACATTTTTCGAGTGGACATTTTAACTATTCAAAAACGTTTTCAAGGTGCTATCTGGGAAAATATTTCCATTTTAGAGATTATTATTAAAAAAAGATAATAAAAAAATCTGCAAAATTACCTGTTTTTGTTTAATTTTATCCAACAACGTCGTAATTACAAAAGCCTCGGGATTGTCCAAGACAAGCTCGAAAGACTTGATTTCTCTGAATATATTCTTGAATGGTATAGAAGCCGGTGCGTTGGCAGCAACCGTATATGGACCTTGAGGTTTCGGTAACGAATACGTACCAATGAGAGGAAATCTGTATACAGTTTAAACGAAATATATTTATATGGCTTATTACAGTCTAATTATGCATTTAATAACGAAACAATCAGCAGGACAATTATTGTTAGCCCTTTGATGTCTCAACTATTTCGCGCAAATAAATAAAGATTAAGTACTTTGTGTTCGATTTCACCTAATCTAACATAAATCAAAGAATTTTTATTATTTGAAGAAATTTATGAAGATTCCGAAAATAGAATTTGCTGATTATAATCGCATACAGATTTGAATGCTTGAAGAATTACGTGATGGACTACCGCAACATATTACGTCGGATCTCTCGACATATAGGACAAAGGGGTAGCAATTTTAATTGTGAATTAAATATCGAATGAGAGTATATCAACAATTTAAACGAAACATATTTCATATATTTGGCTTATTACATTCTGATTATGCATTTAATAAATGATCAGCAGGACAGACTTAACCTTTTGAAGTCTCAACTATTTCTCGTAAATAAATAAAGATTAAGCACTTTATATTCGATTTTATCTAATCAATTAATCTAATATAAATAAAAAAATTTTTATTATTTGAAAAAATTTATGGAGATCCCGAGAGTAGAATTTGCCGATTATAATCGCGTACAGATTTGAATTTGAATGCTTGAAGGATTTCACGATACACTGTTAAATCTATATAGTGTTAAACTGAGCCTTATTTAAGTCGCCACTGCTCCTACTTAATAAACAGTTATTTTGTACTAAAATAATGAAGTTGAATAATTTAAAACAGTTCAAATTCAACCCAAATTTGCATTAAATTCCATTGTTTCATTTAAAAATAGCTATATTGTTTTAGTTAAAAATAACTTAAGTAGGTGCAGTGGCGACTTAAATAAGGTTTAATTTGACGCTATAGATCTAACTGCAGTATAGGCTACTGCAACATATTGCATCGAATCCATCTCGACGTAGGAAAAAGGGTTAACGATTTTAATTGCAAATTAAATATCGTACACAAATTCGCCGGCGATCTCGGATGTGGCTGTCAAAGTAGCGGAAACGTTGTCGACGTCGCTGGGCTCGTAAGTCACGTCGAATGACGCGCTCTTCAACGCCGGCAACTCGATCTCCTTCGGCGTCGTGAAGCATTCATTATTCACCTGGAACGAGAACGAGACTCTTCTATCGACCCATCGTCCATAAAGAGAAAAAGAAGAAACGTTTTATTCTCACCTTGATGGCGAACACCGCAGTCTTCTCGGCGTCATTGCTTACGGTCAGGGAAAAGGCGGCAGAACCACCGAGCACCGCGGCGACCCGCGTCGTCCTCTCCGCGGACGCTGGTATCGCTCGTAATCGCAGCTCATAGGGAAAGAGTCCGAGCTCCTCGCAGCTGACGTCCAAGGCTATCGCGGTTTCCTCGGCGGGATGCAAAGGATGATACTCGATACCGACGATTTCCTACATTCCACATTCATATAAAAATCATTACTCTCTATAAAAGTGAGTCAGTAGAATCGCGTCAATAGTGTCATATCTCGAAAAATGACAATTTTGAGTTATTCATTGGAAACGATGGATTTTAGCGTGTACTTTTATCTGGCGATGAATAACTCAAAATTGTCAATTTTCGAGACATGACACTATTGCAGCAATGCCGCGGAATTATCACTGATTTTTAGTACATCATTTTCCGGTGACACACTCAGAACTGTGATAAACAGTGACTATTTCGTTAAACAATGTTGTTTTGCAGTGATAATGATACTGATTTAAACAGTGTGAATATTACTGAAAGACAGCGAGTTTCACTGTTAAACAGTTTTGAGAACTGAAATTCACTGTCTTCCACTGCTTGAATCAGTATGTTAATTATCACTAAAATAACATTCAAATAGTCTGTTTATCACAGCGCTAAGCATGCCATTGGAAAATGATGTACCCTGAAAATCAGTGATAATTCCACTGATTCACGTTTAGAGAGTACCGGCACCGTCACTGCAATGTTTGCTATAGCCACGATTAAATTTATCCGCTTATATATCAGTTACAACTCGCGACGTATTAGCATAGACAAGATGACTAACGCTGCTTGAGGGTGCCACGAGCTTCGGTACATCATGGATCGTGATGCAGGGATGCTGACATTTTGCCGTATACGTTACGTGCTGCTTAAATGGATTATCGAGCCTCAAAGCATGGCACGCCGGAGATCGCACCGCGGTGATCAGCTTAATCGATTCGATCTCTTGTGGTTTTGTAATATCATATTGGAGTTCGTAAAATTGATATTCGCCCTCTTCGTTAGTGAATGTTACCTGTGTATGCACGCGTGGTTCAAATTATTTTGCAAAAAATATATAACTTTACGACAAGAGAGAGAGAGAGAGAGAGAGAGAGAACACAATTTAAAAACGATTATAAAGTTACACTCTATTTGTGTATCGTTAAAATCCTTCTCAAAAACTTTTACCGTTATTCGCATTTTCCAGCATCGATTTACCTTAAAGTTATATTTCGATTCCTTGTAGGAGTGAAACTCTGCGCGATAATCTCGCTGGCCGTTCGCCGGCACGTCTAGCTTGCTGTTGCCGACAAAAGTGAACGTTTTGATACTCTAAAAAGGTAAATTAAGAGAAGAAAATACGAATTTCAAAATTATTTCACTATACGTTTCAAATCTCTCGGAAAATTTCTAAACCTCGACAGGTCCTTTGTCGTTGATATTCTCAATTTTGCATTCGAATCGTTGCTGCCTGCTGAGCCAATTGTAGACGGGTAATAATTCCGTGTACCTTGTCTTTGCCGGGAATTGACGTGTAATCCGTTGGAGAACCTGCGGAGGTAGACTCAGTCCGCGAAGACAGTACACCAAAGGTGCTTTGTCATCCGGCAGCTTCAGAAGCAACGTGCCCTGAAGACAGTTTACGGAAATATCACGTTTGTCGACCTGTTGCTTTTACGTTAGTATTGTAAGGCTATTATTCTACGTTACTTCGGAATTGTATGAGATCATTTTATGAGAAATTAGCCAAGTTCTCTTTAAAATTACTTCGTGAGGATTGCTCTCGCTATTCATGACCAGAGGGGCGTAGGTGACCGTGTAGGTGGCAGATTTTTTCGAAGGAACATGCAAGATGTCGTCGACGAAGAAACAGTCGCCGGTGACCTCCGGTTTCAATTTCCAAGGAGTCGCGGTGTCGTTTTCGACGTTTAGAGACCTCATTATTTTCTCGCGAACGCGACACGAAAAGAACAGAGTGTCAACCGGGTCGGGTAGCTTGCAGCTGGCTCCGGAAATTCTTACACCGAGATCACCATATTTTTCAATTTCAAGCGTTGCCTGAACACAGAGCAAATTATTCCTTTTACCGAGGACTACATCTCGTTGTAAAAATGTCTAATTTTTTGCGGATTTTCTGTAGATTATACATTATTACATGTCTTTAAAATTAATGTCAGTTTTAAATATAAATTATAAATGGAATTTGTATTACAAGTTTTTCAAATAACAATTACTGTTATATAACATTTTACCGAAATTAATAAAATAAACATTTTTAAAGCAATTTTTAATTTTATCGCCAGCACGGCACTCCGCGGAAATGTGTCGTGCTGATAATTTTTGATACTCCTGGCGGTAGTTTTTACTTTTGATCAATTTTTAAGCGAGAGAATTATTTTCAAAAGTTGTTCTGCCTTTTAAATATTTTTAAAGCAATTTTTAATTTTACTGCCAGCACGGCACTCCGCGGAAATGTGTCGTGCTGATAATTTTCGATACTTCTGGCGATAGTTCTCGCTCGTTTCGATCAATTTCTACGCGAGTGAATCATTTTCAAAAGTAGTTTTGCCTTTTAAGACAGCTTTTAAAATAATTTATTAAAATATGGCAAAATCTCGAGAAATTGTATGTCAGGCAAGTACGCGAGAGTCTCGTTCTCAAGTTTTGAGGAGAAAAGTTTACTTCGAAAAGTTAAATGCGATGCAGAAATATATGCGAGAGATGTACTGCGTTGCGTAATAAACCGCTTTTGTGTTTGGCATATATTGCAGAAGGTACGAATCTTTCGTCGAAGATCGAATGTTTGTATGCTTCTATAGATAGAAGTTGTATACGCTCACATCTCTCTCGATCAAACTGTCGTGCCGAGTGGGTCGGAAACTGACAATGAAGTTGACGTCCATGCCAGGAGAGCAATAGCCAGCCGCAGGAACGATGTTGAAATCTTCAGGCAATTTTGCTGTGTTCCATTTGAATCTAGAGAATCGATAGATTATACACATATATCATTATACAACATTAATGAAGAATTGAGTAATTAATATTTCTATCTTGCGTTAAACTAAAATTACATGAATATTCGTAAAATATATACAGTTAAAAGCTATATGTAAAAAATAGAGGATGCTTAAATCTTATGTTAAAAAGGAAGAGCAAATTTTTAAGAACGTGGTTTCATCAAAAGGTCCAAAGATATTTCAAAGTCTTCTAAAGCCCTACATTTTTATTTATTTATTTAATTTATTATGTTATAGTTAATGACACCAACCTGGCGCCAATATCTCCCGTATTCAATAGCGCTATCTTTGCTTCGCTGAGGCAACCTTGAACAACTATGCCGAAAGGCACATAGGTCCTGTTCAGACGGAATTCCGCGCCTATGCAGCTTCCACGTAGGATAAACAACGGCTGGATCGTGGAATTGGTTTGGAAAGCCACCTTAGCGACGAAGGGACGCATCCTGCGCATAGATTTGTATTTTACAACAACATTCGCTGTCTTCCCTGGCTGAAGTACGATCGATTCTGCCGGCTCGATCTTCAGAACTTGGGACAGATCGGGTTCGATCGTCTGAAGAGTCACGTCGAGCGTATGGGAACGCTTCGTCTCGGAGACCGATGCTCGTGTGCGATCCATTTTGGAGTTCTCCTGGTCGAACTTCCCCGGACAGATTTGAATTCGCTCGCGAAATGGATCGTATCCAGGTAGATGTTTCATGAGATCGAACTTTAATTCGAGCGCGGCGCGCCCGTCGTTGATCACTGGCACTTTTCTGCTTATCATTTTGTTAATCGGTAGATTACCAAGATCCACGGATTTGTCGCGCGGATTTACCAAACGAATCTGCCATAACGGAGTAGAAGCAAAAATAATTTTGCGAGTATAAAATTTATTTAAATACAATAAAAATGAGAGAATGCTATTGAACGGTCATAGTAGGATTTTGGTGCTTCTAACTCTCTACATCTGAATCAGTGGAAAAGTATTGAAAAAAATCACTGATTAAATCGGTACTTATAATCCAACTATAATTTTATTAATATCTATAATTAACTAAACTATTAATATTAACTATAATTTTATTGATTATCAGTATAAGAAATACTTGGGACTGATGCATTCAATGAATAACCATCAATAATCAGTGATTAACTAAACTATTAATATTAACTATAATTTTACTGATTATCAGTATAAGAAATACTTGGGACTGATGCATTCAATGAATAACCATCAATAATCAGTGATTATTAATCAGACTGTATTATATAGGCACTGATTCAGATTTAGAGAAGAATATTTCTATGTATACTGTGTTTATTTAAATAAATTGCATCGGTCACGATGGTGTCAAACATTTAATGAGTTAACAAATAACGCGATCTGTGAATTAGATTCATTTTTAATGTATGTACTTATTATGTAATATAATAACCTTGTACGTAATTCCTTCGCCAGTTATAGTAATCTTCTTTTCGATTGCCGAATTGATTATAAAATGCAGATCATCGTGATAGTGCACCTGTTCCAATGGTCGGAATGTTATCGGAATGATAATACTTGATCGAGCGACTATTGTCTCCGAAAGAGCGTCCAGATTCACAGAGATGTGTGGTTTCTCCTCGAATTTGTACTCCAATCTGAGAAAATTATAATAAAAGTATAATTTAACAAAAAATTGATCTCTTAACTTCCGGCAAGTAATTAAGCTTAGCTCACATGTACGGAACGTCGTCTGAATTCGTGATGCGTAAATCGACGTGATACGGAGCGTCTCGAATGTAGCATGGCCCAAAATCGTAATAATTAAAACTAAACTCTATATTCGGTTTATTCGCTGTCGCTTTTAAGATTAGTCGGTAGGTCGGCCCTCTGGATATCTGAATAAGAAAACGAGGCAGAAATTTGCAAAATCTCCCATTATATTTTTTACATAAAACATACGCAGTATTAACATCTAAACGAAAACGGTACCTTTAAGACAATCGGATGATTCTTTATCACCGTCTTTTGTAATCCTGTGACAATGAGACAACAGGTCGAACGCGATTCGCTGAGCACGTGATCCTGCTTTTGAGGCATCGCGATCGAGTACAAGTTTCTGCTGATTATTTCCGACGTCATACCGAGATCCCAAGAATAATAAAGCGTCATTTTGCTCGAGTTGGTTATTTCAAACGTGATAGTAATGGGCACTCTTAACATCAGCTGAAGAAAAAAATATTTAATATTGTTAAGATTTATTATTTAATTGCTTTCAAACAAATTATACACATGTGTACGCACTTTCCCACAGTCGATGATATTCTCCTTATCCTGATTTAGTCGCACTATCTGGCCATTTTGATCGACGTATGTAATCGAAACGATAATTTCGTACGCCGTCGTCGTAACAAATATAATCAATGGTGCCTTTATTCGTTTTACAACGCACTTTACAAAAAATTGAAATTCGCCAACGAGTGTAGGCTGATACTCGATCCTACAAAATAAAAAGTGCTGAATTAAATTGTCTAAAAAATTTATGTTCAGAGAATTCTTGCTCTTTCTTACCAAAATATCTGTTCTCCTTTCGCGGGCAAAACGCCACTCATGGGCGTTATTTTTAAATTTTGAAAGCGTCCTTCGGAATATAAAGAATCCCGCGTGATTTGAAAGGGAATCTGAAATTCCTCGTTATTGATTATGCTTACTGATTCTCGCACATTGATGCCTGTGGAGAAGATATATCGATGCATAAAAAATGTATAGAATTTTTATATATAGGTTTTTTCTACTTGTCTCTATTCTACCTATTACGGTTGGCCTCATTTTTAGATAGACAAGTGGACAGCAAACCGACGGTTCTCTGACCGTCGCGACGAATAGAAAGAGACACTCCAAATTGTATTTTTCGACGCAGAACAACCAGAAGGACTCGAAAGTGCCGATGTCCTCCGCGAGGAACGTAAACGCGAAATCGATTTGCTTCCCTCGCTCGGCGATTCCTTCCGGAAGTACACAATGAAATTTCGGTATCTCGCCCTCGCAATAATGGGTTCGATCTTCCCAGGTGAAACGATAGTCGTCCGATGTCGGATTTATCATTCGGAACTTTCTGAAATTTGCGGCAGCGCAAATTCGTGTTTTGTGCCTCTATTCGATCACGATGTGATATTTACTTTACGTGAGACTCGTCGATTCCGATCACGTCGAGCTCAATCACTCTCGTGCCCACCGGAAGAGAATTATCATCCGGTTGATAGCCGATGGGTCCAGGCAGCTTCGCGTCGCGTCTATCACCGGACAGATAGTCGCTTTCCGGTACGTCGAAGTGGCAGTACGGTAACAAACTTCTTCCCACGATAGGAATAACCAACTCCGGCAGCTCCGGATCGAGATTCTCCATTCTGTTCGTCGGACAAACGGAAACGCGCGTATGCAGGCAAAGGTCGAGAATTTATGGATGCGATAAATCCGACGAATAAACGAATAAAGATCGTGAATCTACCTGTAGCTTCTACATTTATTTTATTTTAATTTTTTAAAATGTATTTATTAAAATATATTTGGGAATATATTTGGTGCCAGTCGCGCGCCATTCTATTTATATTTAATAAGTAATTACACATATTATAAACTATATACATTTATAATAAAAAAAACATCTGATTCTGGATATGAATGAAATAAAGCAACCAAATTAAATTAAATTAAAGGTTCATTTTACCTTGCGGCCCAAAAAAGAAGGCAATCTTTGGGAATTTTTTCGGGAAAAGTAATCAAGATCACATACTTTATTGTTTTTACATCTTATTTGTTGTACTTTTCTTTTTAATTTGTAATTTTATGAAATTTATTGACTGTAAATCTATGCAAAGTTCCGGTGAAGAAGCCTTTCCGACTTGAACATGGTGCTATGGGGGAAATAATGTAGGTCGCACCAGTCATCTAAAACAGTTAAACCAACGATTTTCCTGTTCAAAAAGAATGTCTCTATGGAATAAACTATGATGATTGATCTTGCATGAAAATTAATAAAATGGCGGCCATTTGAAAAAAAAGTTCGATTTTTGGCCTCAAAAATTGCTCTTATTTTTACGATTAAAAAAAAGTATTATTGATATTGATATAATCGTAGTCTATAGAGACATTCTTTTTGAACAGGAAAATCATTGGTTTAACTGTTTCAAATGACTGATGCGACCTACATTACTTTCCCCATGGCGCCATGTTCAAGTTCGAAAAGATTCTTCACCGAAACTTTGCATAGACTTACAATCAACAAATTGTCTTTATAACATTACAAATTAAAGAGAAAAGTACAAATAAAATGTAAAAATCATGAAGTGATCTTGATCACATTTCTTTCTTTTTCGAACCACGAGGAATGGACCCTTAAATGATACTGACTGTGAATCATAATCGTACTTGCACGTAAGATACGCCTTGTAATCGAACACGTCCATGGGGGAGAATCGCAAGACGCATTCCACGGATTCATCCGGTGATAAAATTCCCTTCTCGGGATAAATTCCAAACGACAGATCGTCGCTCTCCAACCAGCTGTCGCTACTTCGTTCCGTCAATCCGGCGGTGCTGCTGAAGAGATCGGATGGCTCTGTTCTCCCGCAATTGGGAGTAGTTGGTTTCACCTCAATAAGACTGTCTGTGGACATTTATTTTTTACATTCGAATTACTATGATATGTTTCTCGTTTTTCTTTTTTTTTTATAGAATCAGCACCGTTGGGAATTGAGTTACCTCGAGACGACAGGAGCTGTCGACGATTCGATTTGACACTCCCGTCGAAACTTGGACTGTGTCGCTGATGAGGTGGCTCGTGAGACGTTAATAAGGTAGTTTTAGATTGAGCATCATTTCTTTGCAATCTTGACGTGTCTTGCGAATAATTTGCGATCGGTCTCATCGGGTACTGCTCGTCCATGTTTATCTGCCACGCATACTCAACATCGACGGTGCCAGTATTTGAAAAAGTAAACGCATGTTCGCTCGTCTGTCAATAAAGAGAATTGTTAATTACACATTATTTCGTTGTATTTCGTCGTATTAAAAATTGTGAAAGTCGAACTGCAGGCGCAATTTATTTCTTTATACATTAACATAATACCTATCTCGTATTTTCAAGAACGATAATTTTTAAAAAATAGTAATACAGCGTTCTAAACTACTAAATATTGAATGCGTTGCATATTTTTTTAGAATAATAATATAGCATTTATATTAAAATCTTGAATACAAATTTAAAGAAACAAATGCAAGTTCGCTCGTCTGTCGATAAAGAGATTTGTTAATTGCACATATTTTGTTGTATTTCGTCATATTAAAAATTGTCGATTTGCGCGATTTATTTCTTTATACATTAACATAATACCAATCTCGTATTTTCAAGAACGATAATTTTTTAAAAATAGTAATACAGCGTTCTAAACTACTAAATACTGAATGCGTTGCATATTTTTATAGAATAACAATATAGCATGTATATTAAAATATTGAATACAATACATATTTGAAAAAATAAACGCAAGCAGTTCGCTCGTCTGTCGATAAAGAGAATTGTTAATTGCACATATTTTGTTGTATTTTGTCATATTAAAAATTGTGAAAGTCGATTTGCGCGATTTATTTCTTTATACATTAACATAATACCTATCTCGTATTTTCAAGAACGATAATTTTTTAAAAATAGTAATACAGCGTTCTAAACTACTAAATACTGAATGCGTTGCATACTTTTTTAGAATAATAATATAGCATTTATATTAAAATCTTGAATACAAATTTAAAGAAACAAATGCAAGTTCGCTCGTCTGTCGATAAAGAGATTTGTTAATTACCGTTGTATTTCGTCGTATTAAAAATTGTGAAAATCGAACTGTAGGCGCAATTTATTTCTTTATACATTAACATAATACCTATCTTGTATTTCCGAGAGCGACAATTTTTTTTAAAAACAGTAATCGTTCTAAATGTTGAATACGTTACTACTTTTTTTTAGAATAATACTATAGCATTTATATTAAAATATTGAATACATTAGATTGTATATATATATATATATATATATATATATATTTAATTTCATTATATTTGAAAGTTTTTGCGCGCGAATATCGCGCGCGCGACCGAAGCGGGCAACCGAGGCGGACCGAGCGCAGCCGAGCGTAGTCGGAAACTCGGAACGCGCACGGCGAGCAAGTCGCTCCGCAATTTTCTTCGTCCGGCAGAAATGGATCTCACGCGCGAACGCACGTCCCGGACGCTTCGCGAGGTAGCGGACGACGATTGCGGGGCACGTGCGAAGCGCCGAAACCGTTCGGTCATTCCTCTATTCACGATTGAAACCGCCGTCCGGTAGAGTCGCCCCTTCGAGCGCGTCGTCGGCCGTGGCCGCGCAGTGCCGCGCATGCGCCGCGCGGCGCCCCACTGCGCAGCGACGCCGCCGCGCGGCGCCAGCCGCGGGGCTCGCAGATCGCCTTCGAATCAGCGTCACGTCGCGTCGCGGCCGGATCGAGCGGGCTAATTCACGCGTCTGCTCGACGCTCCAGTCAACGGCTGCAGGAAGGAATGCCTTCGTGAGTACTTCCGCTCGTGATCTGTGACGAAGGTATCGTGGAACTGCAGTGCGACGCGTCGCCAAATTGCCGTTCGGTCGCGTCGTGTTCCCGGCGCGTCAGAGTGAAGTGAAAATTATATACATCGCTCTTTCGCGTGGAATCGCGTGCTGTCGAGCCACACGAGCCTGAATCGGCGATGAGTAAAACTGCGCGCGGTGGTTTGCGTTATACCGAGTATGATACACGCGATGATAGATTAAGATGTCGATATTCCGATATTTGCCGTCGATAGGTTCGCGGGACGAACGCACCGCCATGTTTGAATTTAGTGCTCGGCGGGAATGATGTCGCGTCGCGCGCGAATGTCGAGAGGTTAGATTGCGCTGCGCGAATTCTTCAAACGTGCGTCTTCTCGCGATATTCGGCGTGCGGTTTCGCAAGAAGGTTTTTGGATTGCGCATTCGCGTTGATTCGCGTACTCGCTCGATCCGAGAAACGCGCTGAGAATTGAATTGAGAATTGAAACGCGATCATGTTCACTTTGCGACACTTTGCACGACGCTCCTGGTGACGCTCTTTCATCACGCGTGTACTACAATACTTTCGCGGATAAGAAGAAACGCGAAGAAGGACGAGAAGTTAATAGGCTTGCGTGTCGATACGACGCGCCGAATATCGCGAGAAGATGCACATTCGAAGAATTCGCGCAGCGCAATCTAACCTCGACACTTTCGACACTCGCGCGTTCCCGTCCATTTCCATCGAGCACTAAATCCGTGAATAATGCGGCGTTATAATAATTATAATTGTCGTTGCTTTTTCTCAGTTATCCGTGCACGTGAGTGAACCCCCACAATTTTTATGAATTCGAAGCTGCACAACTCCGACAAGATGCTGCCCACGAAGGGATCAGGGTGATAATCACGGCTGGTGAGTGAATTAATTAATTTATCGTTGTAGTAATATATATATATATATACATATATATATATATATATTTATATATATATATACATATATATATTAAATAATGCATATAGTACAATACATTAAATTATTTTTTGTTCCGGGAAAATACTTATCTGTGATATAAGTGTAAAACAAAAAAGTTTAAATAAACATTTAATTTATTTTACTTTTATTTGCAAAAAATCAAAATTAAAATTAAATTAAAAAAAAAATTGGTATCTAAATATATATAATTTTGAAATATTTAGAAAAATATGTATAAATAAATTATTAAAAATTAACTTATGTAATTTTGCAGGCGCAGACATAAGCAGATAACCGTCATCGGTGAGTGATTTTGCAAGAGCTATGATAACTGATATTTTGTATAGAAAAAATAGAATTAAATATAAAAAGAATTAAAAAAATTAATGTATAGGAATAAAAATTATTATGAATTAAATAAGAATATGTAGATTACTATAAATAATGACAATTATAGATAGAAAACATAAATTATTTGAAATTAAACAAAAGAAAGAAAAATTAAAAATATCAGTTATTTATATTATCTTTGTAATTGCATAAAGAGTTTTCTGATATATTTATAAAGTTTGATATCGTTGCATCATTTTTATTGCATTTCGATAGATCAGAAAAATGTCATTTTTGAATTGTCACAGAAAATTGTCATTTTCATCTCGTATGTATAATTTGTAAAATTTAACGTGCAGTTAATGTTGCGTAAATAATATTAAAATTTCTCTTAGCAATAGATAGTTTTTAAATACTCTTTTAATATCGAGATTTATATCGAGGTGAATTCATACTATAACTAATATATAATTTAGAGAAAAAATATCGAAAATATCAAGAAAATCAATTTTTATCCATTCGAAAAATTTATATATTATATAAATTTTAACAGACTGATAAATAAAGGTAAAATAATCCGCTGCTATGGGAGTTCGATTTTTTTTTCTTTGTTTTTCGCGCAAACAACAACCGGAATTGGATCTGATATGAAAGTAACAGAGGTACAGATTTTATCGAATTTCATGACGTTCATGTCTGTTCGCGGACGCGCCAATTCAGAAAATATCCGCGTTATTACAAACAAATATTTAAACTCGATACGGATGATTGCGAAATTATTTATAATCTCTATTTTACGTTCCGATTAAATGAAATAAATCATCTTAGTATTTTAGCCGTAAGAGAGAAATTGATAATACCATCGAATAAAAAGATTAAGATTGAAAAATTAAGAAATCGAAAATATTACAAATACGAATATTTTTTGCAAGCTTTAAGAAAATATTTAAGAATTTTTGTATAAATATATTTGTTAAATAAAATATTTTGGTGTGCCATATCTCGAAATCCTTTTAAATATAAATTATTTTCGGTACAAATATGGCAAAGTTACTTATTCTGAAATAATTATAGCCTAATTTGCTATTTAAATGCAAGATATCCGCAATTGTAGTACACCAACCTGGAACATTAGCGTGTTCTTGAAATTGATCTCTTTAACGGAACAAGAATACTTGGAGAACGCCACGGTGACGTTAAGTAACACTTGGATGCACTTTGTCGTGCCAGGTACGACTTCGTGGCTCGGCTCGTTAACGGGTTCGACTATTTTTTTGGCTATTTCCGTATTTGTCTCTTGCTCCCCAGCGTCAGAATTCATTACTACCCACCGCACCTCCGTCTCTCGATCGTCCCAGGATGATTCTTTCGAGGGATCGGCGAGCTCAATTGCACAGACCGTACATTCGAGACGCGTCTGCCAAACGTTGTTAGAAAATAATTATTTATATATAAATTGAGATGCAATTATAGCAAACAAAAAAGTACAACTACCATCTTTGACAAGACTTATAATATCCGATCTTTATTTCGAAATTTTCCTGTAAAGTCCCATTTATTTTATACAGAAATATTTTTATTATTGACCTTCTTAATTGAATAATTGAATATACCTTAAGTGTTTTATGTTTTGAAGTACTATTTTGATAAAATAATTTTAATCAATTGATATTAACACGCTTCAAATTTGAAAGAAGATGCACGCGCAAATAAAAGAAATAAGAACAATTTATTATGCAAAACATAAATTGCAAGTATTGATTGATGGTAGTCCGCGAATTGCAAACTTGATAATTTTATATTACATCGACGTAAATTGCAGGCTCCGAGGAAAGAAATGTCGCAACGATTTCCTTGCAAGTCAGTGGCTTGAGATGACCGATGGACGGAGTAAATACAACGTTGGGATGTGCGCTCCATTGGAAACGTAAGTATTGATTCATTGATTTATTGACGACTTTGAAGCTCTTTCTGTATATCTTATTGACAAAGCAGTATCCATAATCCAGCTTATAGATCAATGAAACTGGGAGCGTTGTGGGTGTTAAAGCTGTGAAATATAAATCATGTAGAGCAATAGAAAATGTATAAATCGTACTCGAAGGGGAATTTACAATTAAATGAGATCGATATAAAATATCGCAAATTATGTATATTGCTACCTTTTATGAAATAGTAAATTATAAAATGTTTCTGGAACTTTATACGCTATTGAATGATCTATATTGAAAATGATTTAAAAAATTTATATTAAAATTATCGAGATTGTAAAAAGAATATAAAAACAATATAGAGAATATAATTCTCTGTAATTATATACACTATATTGTTATATTCTTTTTATAATCTTGATTACCTCTTGCTGTACTATTCGATTTCGATGATCTTCGTGATTTTGCATTAGAGTCCCGTTTTTCAATGACAGAATTAAGCTTTGTATTCGTAAGCTCTAATCCGTCTAGCACGATTAATTCTGCGTACGCTTTGCTCTTCAAATCGATTATTAGATTCTCATAGGGATTATCAGCGATAAATAACCGCACCTGACTTTCGTACTTGCCGATCTCTCGCGGCGTAAATTTTACCTCAAGCGAAATTGTTTCCTCGGGTATTAAACGAACTACGATGTATTGATTGTTTGACACTGTAATTTCACGATTTAGCTATTTTACATGGAAGTTATTTATATCATTCTATAATAAATTCTATTGAATCCTATTAGATATATTTATATCATCAATGTTACTTCATACTAAAAGATTGATTAAAAAAAAAAATTACAGATTTAAAAAAATCATTACACTTTAAAAACCATTAATTTTATTATTCTTATTGAATTATCTTTTTAAGAAAAACTATGATATTTCACCTAATTATAGCTTTAAATTATAAGAAAACTGAAATTATAAGAGAACTGTATCATGAGGTAACATTTTGATACAAACAATAGATCTTTTAAGATCTTTATTACTCATACGATTTTTCTTATAAAAGGTTTATTTATTTTTTTAATTACTTTTTTATTTATAAAGTAAAACTAAATTAATAACCAACTTCATAATACCAACCTCTTGACAAGTTTTTCATTTCCTCGCAAATATGAAGAGTGAAAAGAATATCTGGATCCTCATAAATCTCGATAATCACTTTAGCTGGTATCACACCGATGTTTTTAAATGCGAATTTTTTTCCATTAGAATCACCTACGAGCGTACGACCAAAATTTAAAACAGTTCGTTCTCGTTTGCCACTCGGCGGTTCGATGATTGTCACTTCTGGCACGCAAGCTTGTCCTACTAATTTAACAAAAAACTTTTCATCCTTCAAATGCGGGGGAAGTTCAACTGCTATCTCGAAGATTGCATAACACGTCTATAATTAACCATAAATAATGAAAAACGACCTAAATTTAAAATATAATGCTTGATTTAAACGTAATTTTTATTGCCACTTTCGAATTAAGATCGCAAAGGAATATATGTACAAGAAATTAAATGTTTAAAATAATGTTAGAAAAAATGATAGAAATTTATTATGTATTGATGATTGTTTTATAATAATTATATTTAAAGTGCATGGAACAACATATATGTATATGTTTATTACTTAATGTGGCAATTTTTATTGTGCGTTCCTTTATGCTTTTAATTCGAAATTAATAAGCAAATTAAATTTGAATTGATAAAAGTCTAATACATAAAACAAAATATTACCTCTATAAATGTCGGATTGAACGAAATCGCGAATCTCTTGTGACTCATCGGCGGAATGCGTTCTCTTTCAGGTGTCAGAACGAAAGTGTCAGGTCTCATAGTTTTCGGTATAAATGAATCCGCGAGTAGAATCAGTTCCACGTCGGCGGGTATAACATTCCGATTGTAAAGCACGAGATACGTCGTATGGGTGTGAAATACGCTGACGTAACGAAAGTACAGACATTTCTCTTGACATGCAAATACGGTGTGTGCGCCGATCTGATTAAAAGTAGTCTCTTAGTTTTACTTTGACTCGAAACGTGAATGCGGTATCGGCTTGTTTAAGGGATTAAATACTTCTTTCGAACAAACAAAGTCTTCAATGCGATTCACAATGTGATTTTCATGGAATATAGCGCCGAGATCTTGTAGATCGATACTCGGTATGCAGGAATTAATAGACAGTTTTATTAATTTGCCATTTCTGTATTCATGAACGCTGTCGGGCACGAGAATTATTATATCTTCTTCCTGAGAGCCGACGAATTCAGGATAGCACTCGATTGCCACGGTATCAGTCTCCCCGGGCTGAAGTTTTCCTTCGGTTTTTGTCACAGTAAAAGGACCGATTTTTAACATAGTCGTAACTTCTTGCGCTTTTCTAAAAATTAATTAAATATTTTTAAATTTAAACATTTTATCTATAATTAATTTTTTAATTAAATAATAATTAAAAATAAAATTAATTTGTTTAATGAATTGATAGATTTTAATACATGTCATAAAATTATTAATCAAAAGAGAGAATGTTATAAAATCTACCCATTATCTGATTTTTCGATTCGCGATTTAGCTTTTTTCGTTGACGTCTCTGTCGATTTGTCATGATCCTCTTTGATTATGTTTTCTGTCATATAGACAGCGGATGGATATTTGACAGGTGTTGTTTTAATAGAATAATGCAGAGGAAATTGTCCAACATTTTCCACATTAAGATATAGTATTTTTTTCGTGCATATACCGAGCGAGCCAAAATTTATCTCATTATGGGGATAAATGCGAAATCTATATTTAAAAGAGATAATGAAGATAATTTCGAACAATTATGATCATTTTATTAAAACTTATTAAAACATAAAGTGTAGGAAAAATTTTATAAATAAATTATATAATAAAATTTATGTAATAAAGTTATGAAAGGTTCTTCAAAATTTTGGCATAATTTAGGAAAATTGTTAATCAGTTTTTAATAATATTTTACCTTGTGTAATATGCAGTTAGGGAAACTGTGAGAGGAATTTCCGCAATCACAGCAGCTTTATTTATATCGAGAAGATGACATCGGAGTATTGGACATTTGTTTAAAGTAATTTCATTCTTTGGAATAAAAGTTACCTGTCATAGAGTTTCATTAATTAATTAACTATAAAATAAATATACATTTTTAAACTTGCTTGTAATTGTCTATTGCAAAATTTAATATATTGAAAAGATGGAAATAATTAGCTTATTTAATATTTTGGTGATATTATGCAAGAAATCAAAAGAAAATTCATCGAACATACTTGTACAATAGCCTCTTTTTTTGATTGAACGGAACCGGAAACAGGACTAATTTCTATGTCCTCATTCAATTTTAGTGGCAAACTCGGCGCGATTTTGGCTAGCTTGTTTTGCTCTTCCAAAAGTATACTAATTATAATTATTAAATTAATTGATATAGCTCGCGATATTGAATATAAGAGCTTGATGCATACACTTTTCAACTTACGCATATTTAACTTCGTGATCCCCTCGATTGCTTATTGTAAAATTTGCGCTCGTGGGAAAGCCAACCTTTACGTACTTTAAGTCAATTGGATTTGCATAATTAATGTCAACAGCAACGTCGTACGTTTCGCCAGATAAAATGACGGTTTCCGTAAAAATGGGTTCTGTATCGTCTTCGTGAAAGAAAGCTTTGAAAGTCAAGTTTCCCTTGATAATCCCGATCTAAGCCGAAAATCCAAGTTATAAAGATTCAATTTAAAAATACACGAATAAAATAAATTTATAGTGGAAAAATTAAAAAATTACTGAATTACTAAATTTGAATATTACATATTAAACATTAATATTTTTAGTAATAAGTATTAGTATATATTTAAATGTAGTTTGGTTTTGTACCTTGTTAGCGTGATAACAGAATTCAATTTTTTGATCACTCTGGGCCTTGATAATTCCTTTAGTCGACGAAATTGAGATTTGAGAATCTAATGGTTCATTAGATTGCAAATGCCAAAATATCTCGATCGGAGATCTATTTCGGATAGAGCAAGTAAGACAGGTTCTTCTATACAAGAGCACTTGACCAAAAGACAATTGTTTGCTCTCAAACTCTATGTCCAATTTGGATCCATTACATCGAAGCTAAAACATTTCGGGTTTAATAATCTCTATATATGTATATTATTTACCCAGGCAGAAATGATCGGTCTACCTATATACGATGTCAAATCGATTACGTCTACAGCTCGATTATTTCTGCTTGAATATAGAGATAATATAATATCTTGATTTATTTTTTTCATTTAATTACCTCGATTGACTCAATGTGAGGATTATTTGTGATACATATATATAATTTATCACTAAATGAACCGAGTTTTGTAACGCCAGCTGATATTTTTAGCAATTCACACTGTCCAGCCTACAAATTAAATAACGGAAAATAATTGTTAATTTTGCATATTTAGTAGCAAATATATCTTGAACGGATTAATCGAAAATACCTGAATATAAAGTTTCTCTGGTTCTATAATGAAAATGTCAGGATTATTTTCCTCGAGAGAGAAGAATACTTCTGCGTTAACTTTGGATACATTGCAGAACTTAAATTTCGCCTCACGACGATGAGCACTGTTCGTAAATTACACATTTATAATAAATTCTGTTAACGATATAATGCAATCATACCTTTTATCCTTTTGAAACACCAGTAATGACCCAAAGTCGTAGATACCAACATCAGAAAAGTATGTGGGATCGATTATGTCGTTTACCTTTGTTTCTTTTATCTGACAGTGAAATACATTTCAGAATTCTATGAATTTTTCGTAAAGAAAATATCTTGGTAATGCTTCAGTACAAATTATTAAATAATTTACAAAATCGTTTCAGATTTAATTAATAATAATTACGTTTTTTAATGTATGCATTTAAATTATATGTATAAAAAACGTTATTACTTTTGAGAAAATAGTATGAGGATTCGTGTCCAGTTTCGGGACATCCGCGATGCCAGAAACATTGATATCATAAGTGATATTATTGCCGTCGAGGATGGATAACGCGTATGTCTGTCGGTGAATTCCCGCTTCTTCAGGCTGATATCGAATCTTGAACTTCTGAATTTCATTAGGTTGCAAAATCCATCGTGATTTTAATATCTTCTCGAAGATCGTATTAATACCGGATGCATTAGTATCCGTGCTCACTACCGTAGACGCGTTTAGCGAAACGGTCAATGATTCTTTATTTTTGAGGATACGCTCCTTGCGCTTTGTATTCTTTACAGAATTTGCTTGCTTACTAATCACACTAGTGCGTGAAGAATTGGTTTCCATAATCATGGAGTTGGATAGTGTGGATAGTGAGACGATATGAAAAATTCCTGATTAATGAAACAAAATTACGATCGATACGTCTTTGCGATAAATATATGTTTTATGAGATAAGCTGTATAATTTACTTACCATTATCTTCAATATCACGTTTTCTTATACCTCGCGGCTTAAGAATATAATATCTCTTTGATTCGAGATCCAGTATCGGCACGGTCTCAGCAGCTAGTTTTAAATATTATTATTTTATATTTGTATAGAAATTTATATAAGCGGATGATTGCACGTTACTTACGAAGAGCTTTTTTAGCTAAGCTATTTTCGTAGATTTGATTTACTATTACGTCATACATCGCTCTATTCCATGGATCTGTCGCATTTACATACCAAATATGAAATCCGTTTATGTAAGTCTATTAAAATAATTTTATAGATATAGATTGTGCAGAATATTGCTCATTATATTGTAAATATAAGCGCATTGCTTTACATATATAAAATTAGTTTTTTTAATAGCAAATTTTACAAAAATTTATAAACATTTCCTGTTAATTACAATTAAAATCTATATATTATACCTCTTTACTGACATCTGAACTTTTGTCTTTTGTATCGATTGGTCTATCAGTCTTCAAAATTTTGCTTTGTGGCTCAAATAATGTATCCTATAAATCAATGACAATAATAATAATAATAATAATAATAATAATGTTTAGTATTAAAAAGAAACAATCAAAATTATCCGTGGATGCTTGCTTTTTTCAAAGGATCCCAATTTTTAATGATGTTTTCTATGGCTGAAAGACGATTATAATAATCATTCATAGCATCAGCAATATTTTTCAATTCTTTTGACATTTCTTGCTTTTCTGAAACTGCAAATAAGATTGGAAATATATAATAAGAAATTTGTTTTTCCCAACAAATTAATATTTCCTTGCTATTTTGTTTTACTTTGAATATTACCTGATTTAGAACTATCTTTATTTTTGAGCTCTTTATGATCTTGAATTTCTTTTTTGTTGGTGAGCGCTTTAGAAGTTTGAGATTTTTCCTCTGGATCGCTGACTTTTTCATTCTTTGCCTTTCTATTTACTTTTTTATTCTTACTGGTTTGACTGTTAGGTACTTGCTGAGAAAATTTCTGTAGGGAATATGCATTATATATATATTAATAAGAAACTTAAACATTACGAGTGCAATGAAGACATTTACATTAATAGAATCATGAAATTATAATGGGCAAATTGGCAAGAAGAAAAACGAGATAGAGAAATTATGATTATGTACAATACATCTCATAAATTTTCAAAGAAAATATAAATTATATAGATCTATATACAGAATATATATATAAATCTTTGAAGCTAAATTAAAATGTCCATACTTTTCTTTTTCTCAGTTCAGTGATCTTTTGTAAAAATTGCGTTTGCCTTTGCAACACTTCTTGTTTCTTTATTGGTAAAGTTAATTCCAGGTAGAACTTCTTGTCATCTTCTGGAAGTAGCTCGTACTCGGATAATGACATTTCATCAATTTCTTGAATTTTCTTAGCAACTTCTTCCTCTAGTTTTTTTGCTTTAATTTAACAATTAACGTGAAAATTTAATTCTTTTAAAATATTTAGTTTCTTTGTTTTAATTTACCTTCTAATTTTCGCAATTCTTCAATTTTTCGAGTATAAGTATCCATTGAGTTCAGAAAAGTTATAAACAATGAATATTCTACGTGTCCAATGATGTTGAGTAATACGAGCAGCGTGGTAACGTCGCTCTTGAAAAAGACATTGTTTAAAGTTTGCAGTACGAAACCGCTCTTAAAGTCTGGTGACGACAATCTGTTTATTAAGAATAACAAGAACAAGTATGAGAGACTGCGTCTCTTTTTTCCTAATCTTTAAAACGCAGTCTTTAAAACGCAGTCTTTAAAACGCTTTAGAATATAAAAATAAATAAATTGTAGAATTGATATTTACAGTCATTAAGGAAGATAAGACTTTCTCTCAGCATACGTATGCGCGTAATTAATCAAATTATATGATTAATTAATTAATTAAATTTAGATACTTATTTAAATAGTCTATAAAAAATTGTGAAAAAGAGATCCCCAAAATCTTAATTTATTTAAAAATTTATGTGCGTCAAATATTACCTTTCTCTAAGAACTTCGATTAATAAGTCAATTTCAATTCCGAGGAAAGTATCGGAATCCTGATTTTTCTCACTGACTTTTGATTCAATTGTCGTATAACGTGGAAAAACTTTTTGCAATAACAAAATTGTCTGGATTTTACATTCGTACAGACTTATAGCATCTAAAAATTTCAAATCTTGTTCTCTTGGAATATTCGCGAGTTCTTTCTCAAATGGAAATTCCTGAGGTGGATCATCACTCTCTGAATATCCATTGATTTCCATCGTCATTTCTAAATCAGGTTTAGCTTTTGTGATTTTATTTAGCTTTGGTGATTTTATTTGATTAGTGATAGGTGATCTCTTTTTTGCGATCGTTTCACGATCTTGTTGCGCGACTTCGACATCGATTTTCTTTGCTGCTAACAGTTTAGTTCCCATATTTTCTCTAAGATAAAAAATTAATTTGAAATATTTTATTTTTATTTTTAAATAAACGGTCAAGATTTTTGTTCTTAAATGAAGACTTCCTAAAATATTTATTTAAAAATTTATGTCTGCAATGTTGCAGTTACTTATGTCTCTCGAACGCTAACAAATATTCTTGATAAGTGTCGTCGACGATCTGTCGCAACTTAACAGAAACCCAATTGTCGCCAAGCGCAATGCCTCTGATAATTTCATTGTCTATGCACAGTAGCGACACTTGCAATGCCTTAGCGCTCCTGCACGCGGTTTCTTGGTATTCTAAAGTAAATTGCGATTCAGTAAATATTTTCTTTGCGTGTTATTGAATGCAAAATTACCGGTAAATGGCGCGCCGTGAAAGATAATGCAAACTTTCTTGGCCGGTTGCGAAGTATCGAGCTCAGGAATCGATTTCGTTTCGCGACTGTCGAACAATTCCTTTACAGGGTTCCTCATTCTCTCGCGGAAACTGGGATCTTTGCGCAGTGTCTCTATATAGCCTTAGAAATAAAAACAGATATAAGAAAGTCGTGCTTTCATTAAAACGACAATGCCATGAAAATTGCACTGCAAGAATTTTTATTGTCGAAATAAAGTTGCTCACAGAGAAGCAAATTGTGAAGTTCCTCGGGATCGCTTGTTGGTAATATTGGAGATTCGCGAGGAAAGTCGAGTTCGCTAACAACTGACATGGGCGGGCAATCCCTTTTTGCGGTATCCGTGGAAGTGGATGAATAACCGGTCGATTTCTTCCGTCTCCGTCTGTCCACGTGAAAATCTTTTTGCAGACTCATTTTCGATCCCCGCCGAGTCGGGGATTGTTGGACAAATAATCTTGACGTACTGGACGACTTCTTTCTTGCTCTTATTCTACCCTTACGTTCCACGCTTGAAAGTAATTTGTCGTCATCTATATACGAACGTCAGGTGTACGTTGCATTATATAAGCTTGTGCATTTATAGAAAATTATATTTCGCAAATATCGTTAGCCAAAAGCAACAGTTATTTCGTAGAACGTCTTTTCCGTAATGTGACAGTTAAAGATTGTAATCCGGGAAGGGAAGCTTATTTTTTCAAGTATTCTTAATACGTACCATTGAGCGCAGTGGCACTTTTTTCCTCGATTACTTCCGCCGACAAAGCGTGCGCCATCTCGCTCATGAGACTATTATAGAATTCCATTAAAGACGACGGTATTCTCTCCCTGAGTTTTCGATGCGGTAATAGGATTTCTTTAACTCCGTAGTAACGAGTCAGTGCCTCGGCGATTTGTTCTTCTTCTCGAAAGAGACTGCAACGCATTCAATAAAGTACATTCCACGTCATTTCATCTATCACTTTTGTTTTAATATCTAATGCTAATGACGAAGTGAGAAAATGGGTGTACGTTTCTTTTTTTTTTTAAACAATTTTCACAAAGACGCAAAATTCTTTCCTGTTGTCTTCTCCTACTCTGCTCTCGCTTCAAATCTGTCGAATTTATTTTCACGCGATATTGATTACCTGTCGAGATGATGCCAGAAAAATTCCACGGGATAATTGCACGTATTTTCGATCGTGAATATTTTCTCCAGTAATTCCGTGAAAAGTACTGTGGATGGGAAATTAATGTCGAGATCGCTTATTCGCAATTTATGCTCGACTCCATGACCAAGCAATGTTACCATTTGCGTTTCCAGACCCATTTTAACGATGATTTTTAAATTTGCCTCCATGTGACACTATAGATGATTATCAATTTTACTTAATTCATTTAATTTTATAAATACATGCATGCGTACAATTTATTTTATACGTATATAGTGATACCGTTTTATGCGGTTTGAAATAAACATTGATGACGTCCGAATGACCAGGCAAAAGAAGATTAGATTTATAGTTCAGATAAAATGGGCAATCTTCTTGTTTTTTACGAAATGATATCCTTGCTTCCCAATAACAATCAATAAAGCCTCTAAAAATTAAAATCTGAAAATTATATATGGTCTTCTAATAAAAGTTTTAAATGTATTTAAATGAGAATATATTACTCGTTTTTCATTAAAACGTTCATCATTAAACATTCTCCCACGATGACATTACGAAAATCTAATAATTTCGTGTTGACAGTTACGAATGGATAAGTAATGACGCTTTTTATAATTAGAGGAATGGTAGAACCGCGGGATACCTGATACAACCAAGAAGCTAATTTAGTTTATTTTAATATTTCAATGTCACTTATACTTATATAATATATTATATTTAATCGACATTTTTATAATTAAATGATACAATGAGGCCACAATTTTTAAATATGCACATATTTCAATTAAATTAAATTTTATTTTATTTCGAATGGCAAACTATAAGAAATTAAGTTTACTTCTAAATAAATCGAATGCTGTTCTTTCGTGCTTCTTTCGGTATATTTAGCCGTTGTCGGCTGCCAGATAATAGTCAGATATGCAATTTTTCCGACAGCTAACATTGTCTTCTCAAATTGTACGAGAATGCCAAAATTTTCAAGTTGCTTCTTTTCTAATTTTTTTATTGTAACATCCGCGTTCCAAGGCCCATAATTGACAATCATTGTCGTGTAACACGTTTTAAGACCGATCGCAATGTAACCCATGTCTGAAAATATTTCTTGTATTACTAATTATTCATGAGTGACTGCCAATTTTCCCTCGTAATTTAGATCAAATTGTAATCAATTTGGAAAGTATTTTTAAATTAATTATTAGAATTAATTAATTTGGAAATAATTAATGTTTCTCGATCATGTACCTATGATATATGTAGGAGTATAGAGAGAAGGAATAACAGCGTTCTTATGCGGAATGGGATGTTTTATCAAAGTAGCATTTTCTTCGATAAATCGAGTCGCCAGAAGTCTGTCAATTGACATCTCGATGTCGACAATACTGGGAAGTATTTCCTCATTTTGTGAAATTAAATCCCATCCATCATCTTAAAAATAATTATTGAAAATTTTTGGGACATTGCCATTAGATGAAGCAATTTCTTGATTATATATTCTGTCATTACATCGCAATTGGAAATCTAATTATGTTTTATCTTACTTAATAAGATTCTCTCGTCCCATTCGGGTATTGGACTCTTTGGCTTCTCATCGTACTCATTATATTGCGTTCTTATTACTTGTTTCTTCTGTAATGCAGAAAGACATGCAAAGCATTAAAGTAATTTTTCATTATTTTTGTTTAAAATTTCATACCGTCGCGATATAGTTTGGACTTAGCAGTTGGATTGCCCGGTATCCCAATTCCGCTGGGTATTGCTTCGAAAAAACGCGCGAGATGTAGGGATAAATTTGTGGGTAACTCGTAACACCTTTTGCGGTAATTATCAATGGATCTACATGAGCCACCTAAATATTGATTATAAATATGCACATATTTTCTAAATATTAATTATGACGCGATACTGTAATCTCAGTTTGAATTGTACCTTATATACAGGGTGTTCCGAAATTCGCGAATTGAAATATCATAACACGAAAGTTTTTGAAAAATTAAGTAAAAAAATTACTTGTAAATTTTTAATTTAGTTTCTATTTAATTTAATTTTTCATTTTAAAGTAGTAGTTTTTGAGATAAAACCGTTTAAATTTAGTCAATTATAGATTACGATTGAACAAAAATATGTCCGTGAGCACGTCGATAGTGCTAGTGGCGCACTTCACGCGAGTGATAGTACTAATCTATAATTGGCTAAATTTAGACTCTTATTTCAAAAACTAGTGCTTAAAATAAAAATTTACAAATAACTTTTTTACTTTTTTTTTTTTAAGACTTTCTTGCTATGATATTTTAATTTGCGAATTTTGGGACATCCTTTATAATTATATCTTATATATATATATATAGATATATATATTTATATATATAATAATTTTTAGAATAGCAAAATATAATTGTAATATAATAGTAAAGTTTGATTAGTCAGTAGGTTATCGACGCACTTGCAGCTCAAACTCTATCTCGAAAGCGCCGAGCAATATGGGTTGGAATTCGATAGTAATTTTCAATGATGATAGGGGATTGATAGATCCTTTATTAGGCTCGATTATTAATACGTCGATTGTAGAATCGCCACTGCTTATTTTAGATATTAAATTCCTCTTGTTTATTTTGTAATTCAGGAATATCGTGCTATGATTTTCCAAAGTAAAGCTCGACCGACATAGTTCGCCGAATAACTGCGATGTAGATCAATATTAATTAAATTAGTAAACTAGATTAAATATTGAACTAACTTTAAATGAAACAATGGACTGAATTATTTAATTGGCTAATCAGACATGTGATGTATATTAATAATTTTATTTATTTTGTAATTTCTTACAAATTTCAATACTAAAAATTGATAGTTATACAACGAAATTATAATATCATTAAAATAAAAATAGAATACAGATGTGGCCCTAAAATATAAATTATTATTATTATTATTATTATTAAAATTGAGAAATGACTCACTTGTTGACCAAAGTCGATGACCTGCCTGTCAACGGAATATCGAACGACATCTGCATTGGCAAACACATTAACTACTTCAGTAGGTCCCTGAAGAATTTCACAAAGCGCGGCAACTTTGACCTGCATAGGCTCGGAAGCGTGGAAGATGATGCGCACATATTGCGAGGAGTATGGCACGAGAACTCCCTCGTGTGGGATGATATCGAGTATCTAGAGAAATCATTAGTTTCGCTGTTAGCTTTAACATATTACTGCCAAATTTACTGAAAAAATATCAGTATAATTTTTAAATAATCGAGACTTTACAAAATATACAGGTATGTAATAGAAATTAAATTGACTTAAGTGAATTTTATTGGGACTTACATCATCGAGTAACTCCTTCGTAGGAGGCTCGAGATCGGAATCTATTAGAGCAAGAATATCTGGATCATCTAAGCATCGTAGATAGGATGTTTCTGTCGTTGACATAAAAATGTTTCTTAATTTTTCGAGCGTTTCGTCTAGCATTTCGGGTCGAATTTCCATTAGCAAATTCTTCGAATCTGAATCTTGTAGCTCTGATATGAAAAGTATATGCATGAAAAATAAAATTTTGGAAACTAAATTGCTAAATAAGCTAAATCTTGCATTGTTAATCATAAAATATTATTAATAATTATTAATAATTTACAATATATGGATTAAAAGAATACGTAAATTAATATTTTAATATTAAAATATTTTTAAAATAAGAGATATTTAATAATACATACTATATGATGTTGAAATTGATAAATCGAGGGATTTATTTTCAGTTTTTTGAGTGTCCGATTTTTTGTTAATCTTATAGGATTGAGGATTAAATTTATTGTTTTTTGTGTTAATCTGTAGTTGTAAATGATTTGTGAAATTCTGTTAAAAAATGTATTTTGTTATTTAATTATTATTATTTATTGAAAATTCTTGCGACTTAAAACAAGTAATGAAATATTTATTCTATTTATATTTCGATGCAACTCAACTCCAACATCATGTGCTCCACGTTGAATCTCAATACTCTCTCCGGCCCACAGAAATTTATATATTACAGGAATTGGTCCATTATTAATCATTTTGAATGTTCCTTTGGCGGTTGAACCCGATATGCAGTTAATAATCAAATCTTTGCAATGTAACGTAATATTCGGGAAATTTACCGCACCTGTGCATTGAATTTTGTCCTGAAATTAAATAAGTAAAACTTTCACATTGCGCGAATCAGTTTTGCAATATACGTCAATTTCCATTACCTTGTTAGGATGCTCGTCATATTCGAACCAGAGCGCGCCTGTATAACTTTGCGAATAAGGATTATCGGGATTTATATTTGGCGAAAATTTTATCGGAATCGTCGTGATAGTTCCGTCTGTCAAAACAATTTTCTTTTTTTGTACAAACTTTTTTTGATTGTTCATCAAATAAAAGGGAGGGTCAGTGTACAGTAAAACGTTTAAACTTAATCGCGATTGATTTGTCACTATTAGTTCATCTAGAAATTAGTAAATTAGAAACATTATTATTATTTCATTTGCAGTATAATGTCACCAGGAAACTATATATTTAAATAATATGAAATCCTAATTTGTTTATTACGTAGTAAACCTTGACGTCAAAGCACCTCGTAGGTGCCCTCTGAAATATTACACATTGCACAACTTTTCCAGATAGTTTACCTGGTTACCTGAAATAGTTTCGAACATGTAGCATACAATTTTCTACCTGTCTGTTGCAACTCTTCTCCCTCGGGACAAATATCAATACGAAATGTTAACTCTCTCTTGTTGAACGCAATCCGTGGCTCCGTAAAAGTAGCTTTGAATGTGGAGGTTCCAATTAATTTTCGTTTTCCTTGTCCAAAAATCTGCTCAAATATGTACCAATCTTCCACCAAGATTTCATTTCTTTAACGCAAAAAAAGAAGCATTTTATGATATTGTTTAAAAACGTAAAATCATAAAAATTGTTTAGAAAAAAATTCTTTCTTTTTATAATAAATATGAAATATTATAAGATAAGAAAGGTTATGATTTTAAAGAATTTAATAAGATTCCAGATAAGACTCAAATTAAAATTAATGTAATATCCTAATTATATTAATCAATTTACTATTATAAACAAAGAGAAAAATCTGATCTAGACTTACACATCCCAACATATTTTGCATTGAACTACGTTAGAACTATTAGCTGGAACTTCTACGGTGGATGGTTCTATTTGAAACTTTCTGTTGTAAAACAAAGTTTTTAGTATTCTGACTAAAATTAAAATATAAATTTAAATAGAGACTATGTAAAATTACTTTGGGTAGGTTTGGCTTTTTTGAATGCGCACTTCTGGATCGTTTGACCACATTATTTGGCAATGACGTGTGCCAAAATTTTTCATGGTTATCGGTAAACTCAGATTTTGATGGCTATTGAAATTAAGTAAATTAAAAGTATAAGCGAATAATTTTAAAAATATTGGATTGAATAGAAAGTTTGCTTCATTTTTTATCTCTTAGCAAAAAATCGAATGAACTTTTCGCTCAATTCAATAATTTTTATTAGTGCTTCGCGATTAAAACGAGTTAAATTTTTTTTTTTTTAATATTCTGGTTTACCTAAAGAGAAAACCCATGTCGAATATTGGAAATATCTGCGGCTCGAAAACGATGTTGCAACCGATTCCAGTCGCAATCATATTAACGGAAAACGACCGACTGTTGATGACATGCACGATTATATTATCAGTGTATTTACCAGTGTCGCGCAAAAATAGTTTGACTATAATCTTTGCAGACGCATTCGGTTCAACTTCACCGAAACTTGGCTCGACGAGCCACAATGAGTTTTTCTTAGGCTATACAATAAAATAATTTCTATAATATTTTTAAATGTATTTTATGCGCTCTGTGTAAACTTGTTATTTACAGTAACATATTTGAAAAGTACTAACCGATGTTAATTTAAATTGCGCTGGTATCGGTGAGTCGTTGATTATGTGAAAATGCATAACTTTATCTTGAAGCACTTGTATATCCCCGAAATTGAGACAAATAGGTTGCGCGGATACTACTGGTCCTTGGCCGTTGCAAATAATCGCGCAAGACGTAACTGGAGTTTGTTGACCCATTGTCAGCATACTGAGAAAATAATTTTTTTTTTTTTAAGTAAAAGCATTATGTTTTACGTAAAATAATATTTAAAGCTTCTACAGTTTCTAAAAGTCTAAATTTTAAAAAATTTCAGATTTTTTCTTATCAAATCACATAATTCAATTATTCTGATTTTTCAAAGATTATTAAGCTAATTATTATACTTTAATGTTGTTGTCTGCTTGCCCACAGTTTTTGTAATAATCGTGACGTCGATCGTTTTCGATTGTCGTGCTTTGAGAAAACCTTGGTTGGTTGATAGTGAATATACGATAGGTATATTTTCAGATACCTGTAGAACGATCAATTCAATTAGCTTAAGATAACTTAGGTATGTTAGTTTCAATAATGTATATTTCTGAATTATATTGACGGAACGTAAGTATAAGTTTAGCTTTTGAAATTAATTTAACAATTACCATCTGCGGTACTATATAAAAATATCCATCTAAATCAGAGTCGTTTTCCACATTAATGGAACGAGCGTAGGGCAAGTTGATAAATGAAAATCGAATGTTTATCTCCGCGGGTTTGATCGATAGAGAAGGAATAGCGCCACAAAATGAGAGCGGCAGTATTACTGGATCCGAATCTGAATTCCACATGTCGACTCGCATATTCGTCCGCCCACTTCGAATCACGTTCGCTAAATATGTTACCTATATTTTAATACAAATATTAAATATTTACTTGCATGAAAAAAAACTAATATTTAACTTTTTTAAAATTGTTTTTAAATCATCTAACTGCAAAACAATTTTAAAGTAAATGTGGAAACAGAACAAAATTGAAAGAGATTTCATATTTATGTGAAATTCGTATTAGAAACCAAGTTTTGCCTACAAGCAGTCGTAAGTTTTACAAAGTGTTTACAAAAGCATTATTCAGTTTACCTTTAATTTAAGCGAACTATGCGCCTGCACCACTCCTTTCTGCGGAATAATCGTAAACTCGCGAGGGTTAATCGGAAAACTTGGTTTCACTTGAGATATAGCGAACTCTTCGTAAGTCAGAGGTGCCTGATCGCCATCCTCCATTATAGTCACACCGAACGCAACGGGTACCAAAGATAAATTACGAAGATTTACTTCTTGTCTTCCGCTAAATCCTGTAAATGCATACACGAAACTGCGGTTTTCCTAATTGAATTGGGCATTCATTATTGTAGTCGATATACCTAAGGCAACTGCGCCAAAATCAAGGCCATGCCTGTCGAAATGTAGTGTTGGACATATGACGCATCCTCTACAAAAAATTGTATAACATAATAAATTCGTGATACGCAACATTAATTAGAAGAAATTCTTGTAATATATTAGACGTAAAAAAAAATAATTCTTATGAATTAAAGAAAAAATGGTTTGAAATCTTTCTAATAAGTTAGTACAAAGTTACTAAGTGTTTACTAATAATATTCACGATTATTATAAAAACATATAATAATTTGAAAAGTCGCCGATTTTTTATTTGATAACAGCGGTCAAGTTCAAATATTTATTTTAATTTACTTTATTTTAATTCAAGTTACTTGATATGCAAGGATAATACTTCTAAACTCTCTTTAATGACGAAGTCGATTCGCTCTACGAAATCTCCTTTCCGATTTGAAGAGAATGATAAATTAAACGACTTATACTCGTCCGGTTTTAATGTTTGAGCACACGGAGTAATATTAATGGTGCCACCAAAGTCTGTGGGTCTTGCTTTATGTACTAACGTACCACAAATATGCCCCTTATTTGCTGCCACAATCTGCAATATAATTTATCCAGATTTCAATAATTTGTCAAATAGAATTACGTCTATTAGAAAAAAATGAAAAATAAAATGCAGTATTAATTTGTAATATATATTAATTCTCATAATGTGACATAAAAAAAATTCAATAAAACTGCGACATAAAAGTCTTCCATGAATTTTTATAACATTTTTATAAAATAAATTCAAATAAATAAAATAATTTCAAATAAATTTACTGAGTTACCTCGTAGTTGTGCACGGAGCACAGAAAGATATTGCTAAGGTCGACAGTGATCACATTGAGATGGAAAACTGGTCCCTTGCCAGTACCGTGAAGGCTACCAACGGGACGCAAAATTAGCGAGAAAATTTCGAAGTAAAAGGAAGTTTCTGAAGATAACGTTATACTAGTTTTCTTGTAACCTCAGGGGTATCCTGTCCTCGCGGCCCGTGACTTCGAGATAAGCGACGCTCGATATCTCGCCTACTTCCATGGCTTGAAAAATCACCGTGATATCTATAGAAGATTGCGGCCAAATTTCACCTTCCTGAAAGTATATATTAGGATTTATTATTTTAAAATGATATTTCTGGCACACATTTTAAATAACGATAAGGGCAATAAGTACGGGCGAACTGTAATTAAGATATCACATTATGAAGAGCTGTAAGAGATGCTAAGCTATCATAAAGGATCACCTCGGGCGTAAAAAGGAAAGACATGTGATTGTAGCGGAAATTCTCATTCGTCAACGAAGCGATCTCGTCCGTGTAAATCCGCTGACAGACAAGCTCGTGAATATCTGGCAGGCAAATATTGTAATGAACAAGACTGACACAACGCACCACCTCGACATTACGCACCAGTTGAAATAGGTTTTTGTATCTGCCATGAAAAATCGAGTTATCACTGAAATGAATAAAAAGAAAAATTTTTAACACGGGAGAAATAATTGTTTTTGCATACTTTTCTTTGCGTTGTATGTCGGTATCCTTGTCTTTATAGCGCATCCATTGGAATTTCACGACGTAGTCGCTTCTGTTGTGTATCGTTAGAACTTTACTTCTGGATAAGCTTAAATAAGTGTCTTCCATTCTGATACTACCTCTGTCAATTCGAATCATGCAATTCATTGCTGAACTACGTAATGTCAAACAGAGCTTTTCTCCTGTCAATAATTTAGATATTTAGGATTTATTAGATTTTCATTATTATTTACATCAATTTATCTTATTAATTAATTGGCATTAAGTAATATATATGTAATTACTGTTATTTAATACCTGATTCATAATTAAGGAAAAGATTTGTTTCAAAATCGCCGGATTTTTCGGATAAAAAGTTCGCAGTGAGTTGCATCGTTTCTTCTTCCCCTAATATGCCTTTTGAGGGTTCAACTGAGAAATACGAACTGATAACAATCAATGATAAAAATTATTACATACAAAATTATTTAAACGATGCAGTCGTTTATTGTTTAAAAAAATTATTTAAAAACTGTACATGGATTGTAGTTAAAGATAAAATTTCTCATAGATGAAATTTTATTTATTTGGTAATTAGTTTGTTAAATTTTAATGTGAACCTTTTAAACGAAATATAACGTGACATTACCTAAGTCTCATAGATAAAATTTTATTGACTTGGGAACTCTTAAACTAAATATAACGTGACATTACCTATCTGGGCAAAAATTAAAGATCGCCGGCGCATCTCCTACATTGCGTACCAAAATAGTCTTCGAGGAGGGAATTTTTACCGCAGTGGCCGGTATTTCGATCCGATCGGGAATGTCCAGAATAGGTCTTGGGCCGATGGCTAGAACAATATCAATCTGGCCTGTATTACGTCCGCGTTACGTGACCGTACGTAATTGCAATGTAATTCTATTTTCTCACCGATTACCGGCACCGCGAAGACCTCGGTATCATTGATAAACTCGACACGATACTCGTAATCCCGTCTCTCCGACGGGCTGAACCTGACGTTATAAATGTGAACGAGTCCTGGCGCCACCATAGTGCTGTAATTCGATCCGTGATATTCCACGGAAAAGAAAGGATCGGGGTCGTGCGAGAGCTTCAGGGGCCGTGACATCTTCGATATGCAATATTTAGAAAGTGGAATCGGGGTTAAGCTCGTGAATATTATATAACAATCACCGCGAAGAGTTAGAGCGTGACAGGAACGTAACGTGTTAGTTGCATATTAACGAGATGTAGAATTAGCGTAGAAAGGATTTACCTTTGTCACGTTTTGAATCGTGAGCATTATATTGTACAAATTGCCCGGAACGAATCGCTGAAAGAGGACAATGCTGGGCGAGACTCTAAAGCACTGGCTTTCCCAACCGCTGTACAAAGATCGTACATTTATACTGCGGCCTGGTTTCAGCAAATAATTGATTCTCTCTTGAGTACTCATCAACATCTGTTTAATGTATTCCGAGGGGGTCGTACTGCTCTGTAAGAATATTAATGAAATTGATAAACGTTGTAAACGTACTGTGTGTTACGATTTTATACTTCATACATTAAACTAACTTCTTGTTTCTGGTCGCGTAACTTGCCCGTTATAGCCGCCAATATTTCCACAAAATTATGTACGGTTGGGTAACGTGTGACTAGATCTTCTCTCTCATCCATTTTTTTATGATTATTAAATTCTATGGAAATAATGCTTTATATAGTTTTACTCTTGCAAAGAGTATAGAGATTTTTTTTTACTGAAATCGCTGACCTTTTAATTAAAATAACGTTTTTAACTAATCAGCATAACATTAATATGCACTGAAGGTAGTTGAATATATTATTTGATGTTTAAAATCGATTTTTACATTTATTTAGTCGATGAAATGTTATAAATTTCAAAAAATATGAATATGTCGAATTATACGCATATATAAACTTTTTATATATATATCATCTTTCTAACTGAAGGGTAGTTTTTTAATAATGATATTAAGAAAAACAGAGATATAATAAAATAATACAATGACGCTGAAAAACATGTTCATTATCTTCTAATTATGCTCTTGTAATTATTAAAATTACCATTTCATTACCTGGGATATTCGACTAAACAAAAATCATGTAATGAGGCCGTAATAATATGAGAAAGCATAGAATAAAATGCACAATTTCTCTAAATAATCCGGATTTTTATTTTAATTTTGTTAATGGAATGATAAAGACTTTTTTGTAGTACAAGTAATAGATAATTATTTCTTCCGACGACTCGATTACGCATTCCACCATAACATCGATCTAACGAGGCAATACAGTCGATATAAGATTATACGGGGGGTGGGTGGAATCCTGATTGATCATGAGGAATGAGCTTGCAACAACCGCCATTCCGGTTAGTTGGATTTCCTCGATTTATGTCTATCGATGAAGAGCCGCAGGACGACAAGCGGGCCGCACTGCATGCATAGTCCTTTAAACAACGTGGCATGCAACGACGAAGTGGACGGAGTGACGATGGATTGCATGGCATCTTTGACACGCAGCAAGGATCGCAGATCCTTTTTGAGCAGCACATCCCCGGACAGGGTCCTAGGGGACATCCTAGAGGAGGGCAGCTCACGTTGCACACCTCAGGCTCGGGCTTCCTGGCGAATAAAGAAAGAATATCCCGTTTCGTGAATATTCTTTTATCGTGAAAACTTTATTTGGTCGGATATCCTGTATGATGAATCCATAGTTTTAATTACAAAAAAGAAATCACTTACAATCTTTCTATTTCACATATGATATCGTGCATTTCGTCCATAAAATTTTGCTTCTGCTTGCATCTACCCATGTCGATTGAACTCTTTGACGTTTGTTTGAATGTTAATACCGGTAAATTTAATTCGTGTGCCAAAGCTTGAATGACAGGTATTAATGACAGATTTTCCTCTCTGCCATGTTTAATAATCGATTTTGTATTATATTACTTACTTCAAACTGTTATCACAAATTAAAAAAAAAAAATGATGTATCAATTATTATTTTTCTCTAATGTCCATAAGGAAAATTGACTAGATTTACTATATCATGATAATACTATAACATTTATTATCGCAGGTTAAAAAACACTTTACATTTTTACAAATTTGTTTATTATACTTTTAAAAAGTTGTACATTTCTCGACAGTACTTCATGCTTGAAATAACGCAACGCGATATCAAAAAATAAAATTCGCATAAAAAAATATGTAAACGAGATAGAAAAATAAAACTTCGACGATACAACATTCACAGGTAAAAAAATATTACACTCTCTCCCTTCATCGTACACAACGAATTTGTCATATTACACATAAATAACATTATTTTTCTGTAATATGTAAAATAATACACTTTCCATTATACAGAATAAAAAAAATAAATACAAAGACAATATTATCACGCACATACATTTTTTTCAATGAGAGGGCATATGGTTACCTTATAAATTTCTATAACGCAAGAAATCGGAGATTAAGCTCGATTGCGCAAAATAAGCTTAATTGGAATGAAAATTGGAACATTCGCGCTAAAATATTCCCGGCGCTTGCACGTGTCCGCTCGTAATTAATTTGTCCGGCGAAACGGCGAGATTGTTGAGGGCGTACTCGGGTTTCCTGGCGAGATACGTGATACCTCCGATGGTCCTTGTCTCGCGGATTTCCGGTTGGCCGTAAGCATACGTTGCCTGCATCGCTCGCGCATCGCCCATTCGTTTTGTCGCCTCTTCGGCGTTCGGTTTCTCGCCGGTATCGCCGCCGGCGCGATCGATCCTCGTCCCGCCTGGTGCATTCACGCGTTGCATATACGCGACGTCGCCCTGACCGCCGTTGTGACCCGGCAGATTCGATCCGTTGAGATAGTACGGCTGCATCTGATGACAGTACCGAGGTGGTGGAGCACTTTCTCCGTATTGGCGGATCACGTCGTTGTTGCCGTGGTACCCTTGCGCCATCACAGGTATGCTCTGTCGATCGTACGGGATCGAGCCATGCGCATTCTGCATGTGGGGAAGCGCACTGTGCTTTTGCAAAGTCGCCACCGTGCCGTTCTCCTTTTCGGCCTGCATGCTGTAGCAATTTCTCGCGTTCTGCTTTTGTCGCGGGTACTCCATCATCAGGGGCTCGTCGGCCCTCTGAGGTCGAAGGATACATAACGGTGGATTGTTCGGATTCCTTCTATTCGCCAAACCGTTCGCCGAGATTCTTTTCTGCAGTAATTGCGGGGGAGCTTCCGCGGGTGGTCGTAGCTGCATGTCTTCCGGAATCTCGTTGGAATTCTGAATGCCGTTCAGTTTGACGATAGATTTCTTCTTGGACAAATTGGCGAGATACTCGAGACCCTTCCTACTTGTCGGATCTTTCAGCACTTCCAGCATCTTCTGAATGTTGTCCGGATCCTGCAAACCGTTATTGCGCTTCTGAGGACAGATTATTTCCTTGTACACTCGCATCTTCAGCAGACTGGAAGTGTCGGTGGGTCTTCTGTTCTGCTGGCAAAAGTACGCGGGATCCATTGAAGTTCTTCGATCGTCATTCTGATTTAATGGATGACTTGGATTATGTTCCTTGAGCCAGACTTCCTGTGGCTGAGAATGCGGAAAATACGGATTGTAACGCACATTGTACGGGTTATACTGCCCGTACTTAAAAGTCGGATTCAGTGAACGACATGCGGTGTTCGCATTTTGCGGATGGTTATACGGGTAACAGGCAGTATGACCGCATAATGTTTGATTATCATTTCTATGAGGCCAATTGTTCGCTTGCCACAGCTGATAAGGATTTACGTACATTTGTTGAGGCGAAACTTGATTGCATATTTCTTCATTGTTTGACTGATTATAATTCCTTTGTTCATCGGCCACTATTTTATTAATTTTCCCCGACGATTTATCGTCTGTCAGATACTGTTCGTTCAAGACTCTTTGCTGCGCTTTTATTCTTTCGAAGTCGCTGTATGATATCCGCGGTGGCGTAATGTGCACCATCCATTCCGGTTTCTCGTCCTTGTCTGCTCTTCTTCGCGCGAGTCGAGTCCTCTTGATCTCCTCCGGAATGTCAGCCTCTTGTTGTCGAAATTGCGCGACATAAGCCAGATGCCTTCTTTGTTCGTTCAGCAATGCGTCGAATTGACGTCGCATCACTTCCTCAGGTATACCCTGCTGTCTCATGGCGGAGACCAGCAATTCCTGATCGCGAATCATGTCAGATGTAAATTGCAGTTTCTTCTTTTCCTCTCGTTGAGCGTGACTTTCCGCGGTTTGGCCAACAGGTTTGTGATTCGCTTGAATCTGCGATGGATTAGATTGATCTTGGCCTCCAGCATTTTGCTGATTGACGTTGCTGTCGCGCGTTTGATAGTAATATTGCCATTGTGGCGGTATCTGCTGATGCAATTGTTGCTGATTTTGATTAGCAATTTGCATCCATCTATCGTTTTGCGGCCATGCGGGTTGAAAGCTAACAGGATGTCCGTGATTCTGATGAATAGGTAAATTGTGCCGCATAAATCTCATCTGATTCACTGTCATGTCTTGCGGAGAAGTCATTCCTTGCCCGGAGACTTGCGCGACAGGCAATTGTTGATTGTAATAACTGTAATGCGTTCCTGAATTGTGTATATGTTGTTGCTGATTGGGTATCAGTTGCATTTGATTGAGCGGTTGCGGCATCATTTGTTGATGATACGCGCTGTGTTGTTGATTGATCTGCTGTAGATTCTGTTGGAATGGAGCGTGAAACTGAGGGTAGATATTTTTTCCCACTCTCTGATTGTTCAGCGGCATACTGGCATTTTGCGCGATCATTGCTTGCTTCTGTTGCGGCATTTGCACGAACATTTGTCTGTGATTGGCCGCATTTCGGTCATTAACCAATTGCTGCTGGCACTGATTGTCAAGCACAGAAGGCTTGGTCGTATTGGGAGTTTGGTCGACAATCGCCTGTGAATCGCTCAAAGATCCTTGCGTTTGTGACATTGCGACTTGTGTCGAAGGGATTTGCGTAATTACCGGCTGATTAATTATCGCGGGCGACCTTTGAATTGATCGATCGTAGACTGTTCCTTGGACGATATTAGGTACGAAAGGACGGTGCGTCTGTCTTTCGGGAGACACGATTCGTCGAGTTAGCCAGCTTTCAGACTGTGGATTTGTTTGACAAATCTTCGGATGATTAGCGACAATCTGTTGCTGACTCGTGCTGCACATATTTTGCAGCTAAAAAATTAAAATAGATAAGCTCTATTAATAAAAATTATTTCATTAATTTTATAACGTCATATTTGGTCTTATAGCGTATATCTAAGCTAGTATAAAAATCAAGTTTTGTAAAATAAAATTTTGTAATATAGTTTATAGTTTTATTGATAAAAAATCAATGTAATTATAAAGATTAATACAAGCCAAAACATTGATTGCGTTGATAATCTTTTTTTTTAAACAAACAAATTTTAAAGAACGCAATGTTTTTTACATAATATTTTTAAAATATATTTTACATATTTTTATACATTTCTTTATATTGTTTCTTATTGTATTTTTAGCTGTTCTGATATTTATGTTTTTCTATTTCACAAAATTTGATCAATTAATTAATTAATTAATAAGATTAATGTATATGAAAACTAAAAGTTTAAAGAATTTCTTTAAAATTTACTTTCGGTGGTTGATGCGGCGGCAATGGAATAGAAATCACATCACCATGCCCATTATTATTTCTGCCAGAGGAATTTGTGTTATAGAAAGTCCCAGTTTCTCGAGGATCTTGCTGCACGATTAAAGCGGCGATTGGCTCGGGCGAGAACATTGGCGGATTTTCCTGTTTTTTGATCACCTCCGCAGGGAAACTCTTGAGTCTTGGCGAGGAAGTTGAACGCGCTTCTTTCGATCTGTTGCCAGAATTGAATCTGGTTTTCGGAGGTTTCATCTCGTCCAATAAAACCATTTTATCGTCTTTAAATCCCGCGAACTTATCCGACGAATTGTGCAAGTTCTGTACGGATGGAGATTTTACAGATCGCGAGCGTCTATGATGGCTCGCGGTGGCAGATCGTAAACTCGCCACGCTCGGACGCGCAAATGATTCTTTATGTTCAGAATTCTCCTCAATTAAAACTTTCCTAAAGAAGAATTTCCGGAGTGAGAGACTATTGTATTTATTGTATTTATTGATCTGACATATGTGTTTTTCTCGAAATGCTTACCTCTTTTTCATTGTTAATTTTACTTAAACGCTAATTTGGGTAACACGACATTTATTGTCAAAAGATCATCGTTTAAACTTAATGGAAGAATTTTTAATACCGGATTTTATTTTACCACCGAAAGAAAGTCGCGAGTTTTGACGTGTTGAAAAAAGAGGGATGAAAGTGCATGACTTGTTGCCATGGATACATACGTGTTGTGTTTTTAAAAATTATAATAAATTTTATTTATCTATAATAAAAAATAATTGACAAAATATCGACAAAATTAAATATACATATATCTAATTTTATTTTTAAAATTAGGAACTGCGCGAAATAATAGAGGCATTACAATTTTGAAAGCAACGCTCTTTATTCTGCAGACATAATGACAAAAATATAGATAAAATATGTTACAGCAGTTTTATACATTAGTAACCAATATATGAATTTCTTTACTGTTTACAATTTATACGAATGTAGGACATAAATATATTTAATATTTTATAATGTACTAGAAAAATGTAATATAATTAATTTAAACTCATAAGCATAAAACAGAAGACAAAAAATTAGGAGACTGAGATCGCAAGAGAATCCAATTCAATTAAAATCACATTTCTTCGGTCACATTCGTTATTTTGGAAGTATATTTATTTTGTGTATTTCGTTAAAATGGTAATTTTGTCTTTGTAGGTAAAATTCTCTTCGATTGTAATCTAATTCTGTATCGACTTTATCTTAATTATTTCCCACGTTCTTCTTCTCTATAAATAGAAAAAAATAAGTTTTTATATAAAATTATTGAAATAATTACATGGAAAAGCAATTAACAATATATTAGAATAATTAGTAAAAATGTTTAAATGCTTGTTTAAAATTTTTTAAACACATATTATGTAAAGTTTTAATTTTATAAATCTATTATTAAAACTTCATAATGTTAAATCTTACAACTTAAGCCGTTTAGCAAGCTCGTATTTTTTTGCTTCGTACACTTTGATGCGTACTTTGCATGCAGTTGCTTAATTACTGCCCAGTCAGTCGCCAATTAGAGCGCCGTCACTTAACAGGGGGGACAAGGGGGTACTACGGAACAAGAAACTCACATTAATCTCAGTAACAAATTCTAATAAAGGGAAGTATGATAATAAACTGACAGCATAGCGGGGGTTTATTACTGGGCGAGTTACACGAGGGTGGTGGACAAGGTGGGCAAGGGACGCAATTCGTGTTGCAAACGTAAAAGCGGGATGGCGGAGCTGGTGTAGCTGGCAAATACCTCATTTCCATTTTCGGTGGAGAAGACACCGAGCAGGTTGGGCAGGGTGGCAGATATATCTTTTACAAAATTTTTTTCTCAGTTTTTTATCATCAAAGAATTATAAAACATATGTATATATATTTTATATACCAGTGAACAAGCCAACAATAAAAATTAATTATTTAATATTAAAATAATAGAAAAATTGCTTCAGATTAATGTACAGTAACAATAATAATAATTATCAGCTATGACATTTTTGAAATATAGACCTTACCGTGTATATGTATGTATTTTCAGTTTAATAGTAAATTACGTGTTAAAAAGCGTTTTTTTTTGTTATGATATGCATATGATTTGATTAATCTAAAAAAAATTCTTAAAAAATAAAAATTAATATTTCATTTGGCAAACATACCACAGTCTTAGTAGGTAAACATGTCTTAGTAGGTTTCGGTATACACGGGGGCGGACAAGCTATTTTATATTGAACACGGGATACACGAGGCAGGCAAGGAAAGTTCACAGGTGGGGTACAACAAATTATAGAACATGAAGTTGGACATCTCGTTGGTAGACAACAGGAAGGGGGAGGAGGAAGACATAAATTCTGACAACTCCTGGAATGTTATAATCATATAAATTATTGTGATTAAAAGAAAAAATATATTATTTTAAATTAATAATTAAATTTTAAGAAATATTTAATTATTTTTTGTATACTTTAATTTACACAGTATATGATTTAATAAAAAATTTAAACTTTTTTATAAAATATATTATTAAAATATATAAATTCTTTAATTAATTGTATCTGTGATGTTCGCGCGTTATTACTTTTCTATGTTATTTAATTACATATAAATTATTCATATAAATTGAAAATTTAATGTAATAATTTCGATAATAATCACTTAGATGAAATTGTATGTTAACACATAATGTGTTTCTGACTAAAATAAAAATTTTATTAGGATAATCTCACTAAAATTTACCTCGACATGATGCTAAAGATGTGCTCTAAACAATGTTAATTTATATTTATTTAGAAATTCAATTATTGTTAAATTGTCAATAATAGCTGGTCCGATCAAACGAAAGACAGTCGTACTCGTGAAAGTTATACAGTTACTTGGAATTTAGTCGATTGCTGACAAGAAATACTTTGGAATTTAAAATTAGCCTCTCATGTCTGCGGACTGATCAACTAAAGATTATTAACTGGTAACCTTGGTGACCCGTAAAAAACGATTGTCGGCTTTCGTGGAATAAATTACGCGCGGAAATCACCCACGGTGTTTCCCGTTTCTAGATATACGAAGCGCGATTGATGTTAGTTGCTTGTTTTGCAAGACACGTAAGCATTAAGAATAAATTATCTCTTGCTGATAGCTAGTGATCTAGAATATTCTAGAAAATTGCCGTCTCAAAAATTTTAACTGGTAAGGATTTATAAACATTAAGAGTATAATACGTTTACATTTGTTTTCAAATGATAAATATAGATTTATCAGATAACGAAATTTTGTAGTTTATATTAATTTGAATTTAATTATTAAAGATATTTTGTATTAAATAACAAAAATTGCGCAATAAATAACATAACTTTTTTTCTAAGAAGAATTAAGTTGATTTAAAATAAACAGTAAAAAAATTATTATTGAAATTAAAATATAAGATAAATGAGAATTTGAGAAACAAATTAAGAAAAGTAAACCATCAGATTATCTAACTTGCATAAACTGATCGAATTACACGAGTTTGCCAACTGTTGGTAGAAATACGACGTTTGGAACTGGATCGGGTATAATCACTTGCTAAACAGCATTTGCAATTTGTATAAAACGCTGATAAAAAGTATTCGGTCTAAATTGACTTTAACCGCCAACGGAAATCAATTTCGTCACAACTGTTTGAGTTCTGACAAAGGGATTCCTTCTACAGGGAATGCAACTGTCACCGCACATGTCCACATTCGACAATACTCTCGATGCACATCAGTCGGTGCATTCCAGCAATGGTTCACGAGCTCGACTGAAAAGCCAGTAACAAAAGCAGCGCCATATCTTTGTCGCAATATCTACATTCAAGAATATATCACGATTTCGACATTGTTAGGGAAGAATAGTGTTAGATGTAACGCAATCGCGACGTGTATATGCAGATGAGATTTAAGTATTTCGATATCCTGTTATTCCCAAGAATATAAAGTGAAGACAAATCTTATTTTATACAAATGTGCGAAATAATATTATGTACAGGGGACTTGTTTAAAAATGTTACTTTATTATATGCGTATAATTATAGTAATTTCTAGCGACTTTAAGAATGTTAACTTGTTTAATTATTTATCGCTCTCTTTTTCGAGTATTAATAATGTGCGCGTTATGGGAACTTAACGTCGCTGCTGGAGAGAGAGATTCGCGCGAGATGGGATATAATAAGTACACAGGCTATCTCGTATTACTCAAACTATATTTATTGTGACACACGTGTGCTTATACGATAGCGATGAATGAGTGCGCGAAACGAAGGCTCGTATTTCTCGTGGGCTCGCTATGCGAGTGTAAATATTGCGTAGATTAAACGGAGCATTGGTGTCGACCGGCGGGGAACCGCGCTATGTCACGCAGAACCCTGCTCCATTCGGCGGCTGGGCGGGAATACCGCGTCTGTTCATACGACAAGCGTGCTCCTCCAGCCGTTGAGCGGCGACATTGTTATCCTGCTTGTTGAAGCTCCACAGACGTTCGGCCGCTGCGCTCGCACGTGGCCAGATCCTCGGATGCATGTTATTTCTGAAAATAAACTACTCAGGAAGAATGCCCGACATACGTTTCGTAATCATTTTCTTACCAGATAAAATAAATAATCGTTAAATAATCCGTTCTAGATAAAATAATCTTTAGCATAGTGTTTTATTCCCTGATTCTTATTCCTTTGCCAAGAAAAAGATTGTAAACGTTAGGAATTATTTTCAACTCAAAAGAGCACTTGAGAGGATGTGATTCTGGAGCGCGTGATAAATAAAGCTATCCATCTATCTAAAGAAATAAATGCTCTTATCCATACTGAATTCATCATAGAATTTTACTGTAACTTCTGGTATTTGCATATTTATTTTCGCCAATTTTTAATTCTTGTTGCAATTAAAATAATTGCTTATTAACATGCTTTTTAGCGAATTTAGACAGTTTCCATCGTTACACTATTCAATTGAAATGCTAATTCGTAAATTTAGAAATATGAGCAAAAAGAGAACAGGCTAAACTTACTTGTCGACGAATTCTGCCCACATGCAAGTCTCACCGCCGAGCATAAGATGCGTGGCGTTGGCCGCATTGGCAAAATCGAAAGGATCGCAATCGTAATACTTCTGCCAATCGCCGCCGCCAGCGAGGTGGTCCAGATACCAGCAGGACGATAGCAGGACCGGATGTCCTGCCATCGTCGCTCTCTCTAGCTCCTTTTGCCAAAGCGGTACCTTCCAAACGTGCACTACAGTGCTCGCGGGTAGTACAACGCCATTATCGAAAACCTATAAGCCGTGTAATTTACACGTGACAAAATGTTTTGTAATAATAAACGAAATAATATTTAACGTAATAACAATCTTATTATATACGAAGTGTATATCTTTTATTTTTTTTTCAATAATCAAATTTTTATTGTAAAAAAGAAATACTCGTAAAAGCGAAATACCTCTTGCCACACAATAGTCTTGGCGTCTAGCGAATTGCTGATCGCGAGTATCTTGGCTATATATTCGTTCTCGAGCAGCTCATATTTGTTAGACATATTGTGCTGCTTCATGTACTCGACAATCCTCGGATTGCTGCCCCAGCAATCGAAGGGTACTTCGTCGCCACCTAGGTGGAGATATTGATCCGGGAATACTTGCACGATCTCGGAGAACAAATTCTGTACAAAGTCGTACAACGCTGAGTTCGTTGGGTTCATCGGGCCTAATTTACCATTCGGTTTTCCGGAAGAATCTAACAGATACACAAATAATGCTAATTTGCATTGTTAAAGAGATTTATAGATTTATTAATTAGGCTATAGAGATGAAAATAGATCTATTGAATCTTTTAAAATATAATTATTTTTATCTCGGACGTTTAGACTTTTATTAAAATAGTATGGCTGATTAATATAATATATATTTTCTTCATTTACCGTAACACGCCGTCAGTAATTCCGGATAGGAATTGCCCCATGATCTAGTATGTCCAGGTGTGTCGAACTCGGGCATTACTCTGATCCCCCGTAATCTCGCGTAATCGACGACCTTCTGCACGTCATTAGGTGTATAGATCATCGAGTGATGGTAAGCGCCTTTGGCGGACAGGTCGGGATACCTGGTGCTCTGATACGGGAAACTGTTGTCGTCGACGATGTGCCAATGAAGGACGTTTAGCTTGTTGTACGACATAGCGTCCAGTGTCAACAATATATCAGATAAAGGTTGATAATGGCGAGAGGTATCGAGCAGGAGGCCGCGATGCGGCAGTTTTGGCTCGTCCAGGATGGTCTGGCATTTTACTTTCAACTGTAACACGCGATTAAACTCACGCTGGCTTAATTGTTTAAATAAAATAATTGCAGTATAAGGGGAAATATTATAAGCGCTGCAATTTGAAAGCCGTTTCCTTGTCGATGAGTTCTATAGTTGTCGAAGTCAGCAGAAATAATTTTTCACGATAAACGTTGATTACGTAAAAAGAAAATGTTATTTTTACGTATTTATCAACTTTGCGTTTTTTTCTCACACTTTGCAGTTTGCATAGACAATTAAGATAAGTAAAATATTTTGCGTTTAACCCGTAAAGGACATGCGAATTCGCACCAAGCGAATTTTTTTAAAGTTTTATATCTTCTAAAAATAAAAAGCAAAATGTGTTTCTCAATGTAAAATTGTCTGACTAATAGATTGGTAATATTAAATTTTCGAAAAAAGAATCTAATTGTTTTCAAATTTTGTGTTAAACAAAACCATTCAAAAGAGAGGTATCTTTTACGGGTTAAGATAAAACGATGTCTATTTGACAAAAGTGTGTACAGCGAAACTTAAAAATTATTTAGGATAATTAATTGAAAAAAAATACACATATACTGCATGATATTGATTGTGATGCTTTATTATTAATAAGTTGTCCAATCGCCTCCATTATCAATAATTGACTGGGCTCTCCGAGGCATGCTTTCTACTAATTTATTTATAGCATAATCTGGAGCCAAAGACTTCCATATGAGTCGAATTTGTCGAAATAATTGCTTGACTGCAGTCTAAATCTTCTTTCCTCGGAGCTTGAACTTTATGAGTGCCCAAACATTTTCTGTGGGATTTGCATCCGGCGACTGCGACGGCCAATCTAGTACATTTTCTCGTTTCCACGCAGTACAAAGACGACTCCGATGTTTTGTCATTGTTTTCTTGCAGTAGTCAATATATGTTTTTTCTTGTAAACTACCTTTGGGCAGAAGGTAATAAAGCTTTTTGATATATTTTGACATTTTAGCAGCGTTTAAATTGTCTGTAAAAATGTGCAAAGTCCCCCCCCAAATCCCTGTTTTGCGTAACAGCCCCAAACGTGTATCTTTACCGCGTGTTTGACCGCTGGATGAATTTATGGGCGTGGGTACACCAGGTATGAGTGATGAAAGAACGTGCCCCAAAAAAAACTTTGTCCAAAAAAATTACGTTGTCCCAATCGCGGTCCAAATTTTCCTTTGCCCAAGAGTGAGTCGATTTTCGATGCGTTTTTCGGACAGTAGTTTCTTTATTGTGCTACGAAATTTTACTTCATGAGCCAGTAAACGTCTTCTTATAGTATCACATGACACATTTAGACCCTTTTTATGCAAAACCGTTTTCCCACCACGTAATAAGAGACGAGAATTCTTTTCGAATACCCGTAAAATCATTCATTTCTCCTTTTTCGTCGTTGTTTGCGTGCAGCCACGATTCGGCAGGTCATTGACATTTTTTTACTTCGCAATAGCGTTTCACCACTTACTAACAAATGTCTTCGACTTCTTCATGTATTTAGCAGCCGCTACGTATGACATTTTCGGTCCTTTTGGATGTAAACACAGAAACACGGCTTCGTAACGTGATGCATACGCGGCACTCATGACGAAATATGTCCTTCTGTGACCAAGGTCGAACGATAATTAAAGTTTTCTATTCAAAGCATCTTTGAGGAAGGGTCTCGCTATCTACTC